AACCTGAATGGGAGGCCATGGAGAAGTACATCCATGATTCTCTAGCAGCAGGTATTATACGTCCTTTTTGTGGAAAAGAAAGATGGGTCCTTGCGTCCCTGCATAGATTATCGGGGGCTGAATGACATCACTGTAAAGAATAAAGCCCTTGAACTCTTGCAGGGAGCAAACATCTTCACAAAATTAGACCTCCGCAATGCCTACCACCTAGTTCGGATTAGGCAGGAGGATGAATGGAAGACCGCCTTTAACACCCCTACTGGTCATTTTGAATATCTCGTTATGCCCTTTGGGCTCTCTAATTCACCGGCGGTCTTCTAAGCACTCGTCAATGACGTGCTCAGGGACATAGTAAATTGTTTTGTGTTTGTTTATCTTGATGATATTCAGATTTTTTTTTCAGAATGAACAGGAACATGTCCAGCACGTCAGGTGGGTGCTTCAGCGGCTGCTGGAGAATCGTCTCTTCGCCAAGTATAGAAGCGTGACTTCCATACACAGTCGGTTTCGTTCCCGGGGTTTGTTCTATCGCTCGAGGGAGTGCGAATGGATCCTGCCAAAGTAATAGCGGTTGTGGATTGGCCCACCACAGACAGTCGCAAGGCGGTCCTTCGATTTCTGGGGTTTGCCAATTTTTACAGGCGGTTCATTCGCAATTTTAGTCAGGTTGCTCTGCCTCTGACGAATCTCACCTCCATTCACAAGCGATTTGAGTGGTCCCCCAGGCACAGACAGCCTTTTCTGAATTAAAAAGACGTTTTATTTCAGTGCCCATTTTAATAACTCCAGACCCGTCTCGTCAGTTTGTGGTGGAGGTGGATGCATCAGAAGTAGGTGTGGGAGCCATTTTGTCCCAACGGTCCTCGTCGGACGACAGAATACACCCTAGCGCTTTCTTTTCCCATCGATTTACACCTTTGGAACAAAATTACAACATCAGGAACAGAGAGTTACTGGCTGTCAGGTTGGCATTGGGTGAGTGGCGTCACTGGTTAGAAGGGTCGGGGGTTCCTTTCCTGGTCTGGACCGACCATAAAAACCTGGAATACATTAGATCAGCCAAACATCTTAATTCTCATCAGGCTCGTTGGGCACTATTCTTTGGCTGGTTTGATTTTCAAGTCTCTTATCTTATCTTATAGCCTTCCCTGAATTATTAGCTCCTCTGTTTATTTTTAATTAATTTCTGTTTAACGGAGAGCAGATTTCTTCAACACATTTCTAAACATAATAGTTTTAACAACTCATTTCTAATAACTGATTTATTTTATATTTGTCATGATGACAGTAAATAATATTTGTCTTGATATTCTTCAAGATAGTAGTATTCAGCTTAAAGTGACATTTAAAGACTTAACTAGGCAAGTAAAAGTGGTTCATTCCACTGTGGCGACCTCTGAAATAGAGACTAAGCTGAAGGAAAATTAATGAATGAATAAATACATTTAGACCATGGGTCTCAAATTGTATTCCTGGAGGACTGCGGCTCTGCACAGTTTTGCTCCAACCCTATTCAAACACAGCTGATACAACTAATCAAGATGTTCATTACTACTAAAGACTATTAAGCAGGTCTCAGTTGTAGTTGGTTGGAGGTAAAATCTGCAGAGCTGTGGCTCTCCAGGAATTGAGTTTGAGACCACTGATTTCGATATTTTCTACAAATTTACAGTAAAAACAGACGGGTTAAAAATAATACTGTCACGTAATTCCGTAGAATATTATGGAATTTATCCAATTATTTCAATTGCGTAGAAGCCAAAAGGCAACTGGCTTTCTTACTATCACATAAGTAATAACTGGCTTTTCTTACTATCTAAAACATTTTGCAATTGTTCAATAACCATACCATTGTGTGTCTGTGTGTTGTTGCAGAGTAGATAAGATCTGATCAGCAGCAGATATTTGTCATCATCCCATCACAGACTGTTGATGTGATCATATCTGTCTTGATTGAATCAATCTGAATTCAGTCTAGAATAAACCAAAGACTAAAAACTTTTTCCCCATCCAGAATTGTACCTCATGAGAAGAACCTTGATACTTTCAAATAAGTAAAAACGCCAAGCCGAGTCAAGCGTATTTAATTCCTGAAATTCCTTATCAAGATGAGTTTTCGTAATGCACTAAAAGCACTGAAGGGAAAGGGTGAAACCACCCTTGTGAAAAACGGGACAAACCCACCTAATGTACCTTTAGACTATATACTTAAGGACTTGTTGTCATATCACAGTCAGCTTCAGCAGATATGTGATACAGAAAAAGAGATTGAAAAGAAATACAGGATTAAAAAAAAGGATGGTGACTGGTGGTCGGACGAAGATATCCAACGAGCCTGGGGGAAAACACAAAGAATGGATAAAAAGAACAGAAGAAACAACTGGGCTCATGTGTTATTACTGCAGCTGTTAAAAAGAGAAACGAGAAATAAAGATCTGATGAGGAGTGGAAATGTGCTAAGCAGAGTTATTATGAGACATCAGGCCAAAGAAAAGCTGAAAGAGAGAACAGAAGAGAGAATGGTGTTTTTTTACTCAAATGATGATATAAAGGTGCAGGGAGTTTCAGGGCCAGCTCTGCAACTTACTGTAACTACACACCCACAAGATAGTTATTCAAGGCAAACTCACAGTGTCAATTAGTGCTCAGTGGGGACGGGGCACATCCTTTCTAGTACTTATTACTATGATCCTAATGCTGAACAGTTCGAATCTGATGCAAATACAGTATTACTAAATCAAGCACCAGTTAACCGTCTAACCATCTGTATAGCAATCCCAATCACAGAAATGTACGACAGTCAAACAACATTTACAGAACATGATGTTGAATACATCAGATCTCCCTTTAAATTAACAGATAGACTTCCTTCTGATACTGATATAAGGAGAAGAAAATCATATGTCATGTAATTCGACAGTAGAACCAACAATGCTGAATGGGTGTATGAGATACTGAACCAGCAGACTTTAGCGAACAATTTGCAACAGAGATATTTTCAAAATGACTATGCCGATCACAGGTGGTGCATAGAAGCCCTACTGGACACTTCTCCGAATAGCAACACTTTACCACAGCAGACGGTGTTAAACAACAGCACATGGAGAGGGTTGGAGAATCATTGTCGAAACACAGTGATTCCTACGTCTATAATGTCCACATGTACACTGGGCCAATTTACAAGAATGTGATGATACATACAAAGTATTATGATAGAAGGTCAATAGGTATAAAAGTGGATAAGAGGGATAAGAGTGCTGATTGCCTTCTTTAAGGTGGTGATTGTGGAGTATGAGAACGGATAAGTCTGAATGCACACGATGCCCAATGTCATGCTTCCAATTAATTAGAAGAATTACAGTGACATTGCATGGTACAGATCTGAATGAAATACGATATAATGCCCATATAAAAGTCAGAATAAACCCATAGCAATAAGAAACTGAATTTATTGATTGTCTACATCACAGGTGTCAAACTCAGTTCCAAAAGGGCCGCAGCTCTGCACAGTTTAGTTCCAACCCTAATTAAACACACCTGATCAAACTAATTGAGTCCTTCAGGCTTGTTTGGAACCTACAGGTAAGTGTGTTGGAGCAGGGTTGGAACTAAACTGTGCAGGTTTTGGCCCTCCAGGAATTGAGTTTGACACCCCTGGTCTACATCTTGATTCCATGTGCCCCATCCAAAATTGCTGCATTAAATTGTTAAACAATCTGTTAATTAACATTTTCCCGCTACTTTTGATTCGTAGGTGTTTTCAGTTTATCAAATCAAATCACGCCTTTATTTGTCACATACACTTTGGTATAGTGAAATTGACTCCGCCCCCCCCCCCCCCCCCTCTCGCCCATACACAAACATCACAATTTTCAGGGGAAGCCAGGTCACAGAAGGTAGCATTTAGAAAGGGAAGTAAGATACATAAGGAGAGTCAGGCTAAAAAATACCCTCTAACCTTGCTCTTGAATTAGGGCAGGGTGAGAACAAGGAGAAAAAACAGCCCAATCTAGTATAAAAGCACACAGATGAGACACAACATTGACACAGGGGATGGGAACAGGGTATATGGATACAGTCCGATAAGGGCCAGCAGCCATCTGGTTCTGCAGCCATGCAGGTGCTGGTCGCAGACCCGCCCACTCCTCTCCTGGGTGAAAGCACATAAAGGCATTTGAATGACAGGATCAGTAGTGATTGTCTATCTGTAGTTGTGTATGTGTGTGTGTGTGAGCCTGTAGTCTAACAGGTGTCCTTGACAGAGAGCAGGAATTTCAGAGCGTCTTCTTATCTTGCTATCAGGAAGAGATGTTTTTCTCCAGCCGAGGCCGTCTGGCAGGAGAAAGAAGAGAGCCGAAACAGTAGGGAAATACTTCAACTTTAGGTCAAGATCTGCCAATTTCACAGATATTTAATGTCCATCACTCGATTTCACCTCAATGTTTTCCAGTTTGCGGTCTAGGACCATAGTCTGATTTGTGACACTACCCATATGCGTATCAATCAAGCCGGCCAGCCTGGTGGGGTTTTGCGCAGCACTGACCGCTGTCATCATTTGTCGATACCCCAGGGCCCCGCATAAGCCCATCAGCAGAAACCCTGTTATCAAAGTTTCGAATAGGTAAATATCTTCAATATCCTCCAGAGACAGAGCAGCCAAGCACAGGTCTCGCCACTTCTCCCACCCATCCATCACGTATCCAGCTGCAAACGTTCCCGCAGGACAAGTGGGCTCTCCCAAGCCCAAACTTCTCGTTGAGAAGATGGTGTCAATCGCATTCAGAGACCAGTTGATCAAATCCATAATTCCTTATTTGTTTGGATAGCAGGACACGGAGAGCCTCAGAGATAGAATAAGACGAGACAAGAGGAGCTAGTAAGGAGAGATATGGGAAGGAGAGGAAAGAAGTACGACCGCCTTTGCAGAGAGCCAAAGAGAGAATGATTGATGCTTTATGAATTACATTAAAATTTTATAACACAAATTACATTACTAACTCTTCATGCTGAGCATAGATTTTTTATTGTAATTCTGAGTGCTTAAACGATGGGTTGGTAAATATTCTGAAAGTTTATTCAATACAAGTGAGAACAATACAAGTATTGAAAGAAACAAAAGAACAAAAATATGTACATAACACATTAATTTAAAGTTTTATGTGTAGTCAGAGACAAAGAGGGTTTTCATTGTCACAAGTTAGCAGGACCTTCAGTTCCTGTTGGTATTAAATGTCATAATCCTATCTTATATATTTATAATGATTAATATATTCCTCATCTTTATCCACCATTTCTATAAGAGCAGGCACAAAAAATTTGATGCATAAAACCAAAGCCTGTAGTGCAACAGTTCACTCTTCGTTTATTTGTGGATACAATAGACTCGGAAATCAAACTTAAGGACTATTTACACTTTCATTAGCTTCACATTAGGTATGGCTTTAAAGATGCTTGTGCCCTTCCTCAAAACTCTCAGCTGCCTCTTTCGCATACGTTATACATATAACATTGACCTATGAGCTTCACACATGTAATAGAAATGTCCCAAATATGCAAGCTGTATATTAAAATACAGTCATTTGTAAAATAAACAATATATCAATAATATGAAAAAAATACAAATGGTCCTAATGTTTTTTATGGCTGTAACAATATTAATCCTGTTGTTTTAATATGTATGTGCAGTATGTACACTTAGTTTTCTGTAAACCACACTGTGAAATCTTACTAGGCATTTTACAGTGTTGCCAGTCGAATTACTGTAATAGAGCAGTAGCAGTGACTAACGGTTATATACTTAAAATTACAATGAGTAACTGGCAGGAGTGTTAGCAGTTAACTACTGTACTGTAGTGCTACTACTCACAGCATGATACTGCACACACTAATGGTATGTCATATATAGTTGTCATTTGTAGGGTTAGTGAAATTAATCAATATTCTTTACTGGTATATAAAAAATAGAAAGGATGGCGCTAATAGCTGTTTGCTGCACCCGTGTGATTGGCTGTTTTCTGCACTCGTTTGATTGGTTGTTCGCTACACTTCTGTAATTAGCTGTTCGCTGCATTCGTGTGTCATGTGATTGGTTGTTTGCTACACTCATGTTATGTGATCATACTGCCCTGCAGTGTTCGTTTTAACGACAAAATGCAGGCATACATACCTCTGGCTATAATTCGTGTTGTCCAGAAATGTATATGGGGGATGCAATTTTTACAATAAGCCTGTGTCGGAGCAGCCCCCAGAACCCCCCCCCCCCCCCAACCTCCCCACGCTCTTTAGCTGGGGGTGGGGGTTGTAGCATTTTTCGCTACGCCACCGCCTATATCTATTGACCCCCTGGTTGTATTTTATTTGTAATATTCATGTTATTATTAATATTTTGTACTATTTAGTTTATTATATGCTTGGATATATCATATATAATTAACAATGGAAGTTGAAAATGGCTGATTCTTATTTGAAGGTTAAATAAAAACTAAAGAGAGAAAAAGAAGGAAAAAAAGAAGACAACACAATGCGCCTTAACTGTCATCCAATCAGATTACAGCTTCCTTTCCTTTGACATTTAAGTTGGCGCCTGTTTTTCATCGGTGAACGACTTTAATGCTTGGCTATCTCTAAGGCAGTGGTTCCCAAACTTTTTGCTATGTGCTCCTCTTTCTAATATTTGACACCTGTCAAGCACCCCTATCTCTGATTAAACTTTGTAAGTGCCGGACTGTATACGTATGAGGGCTTAAGACTGCTATTACCTAAAACCTCACCACAGACAAGATATAGCGGATTTGGATTTTTTGCTTTTTCAATCCATGTAAACCTGAAATCACTGTCACTATATTTACGCTTCTTACTTGACATTTTCTCACTCTCAAGTGTAGGCCTTATTCTCTTCATCAGTACATCTTTGGTGGATTTCCCTGTTCCTGCCCGTGCCTCTTCAACTTGTTCGTTATCCTCTGAGTTCATATATTCAAGGCCGCTGTACATCTCCACAGAAGAGGCCGATGTAGATGGTTCATCAGTACTGTTATTTGACTTCTTTAAAGTGGCAGTTTTTAACCAGGTGTCTGTTTTGATGAATATAGTTAGGGAAAAAAATTACGAATGTACCATCACTTAGCACCTAATGTGAAAGGGGCGCGGCTATTGTGACGCAGACCTGGAGCCGTGAGATGAGTGAGTATACATAGGTTGTAAATTACAATTTGTAATGTGATTTTTTTTCTTTCTCTCTAAATGACTTTTCTAGTGAAGTTTACCTAAGATAAATGGATAAAATCTTTCCGCTATTACAAACATTCTCTCACGCACCCCTGGTGATCAATCTGTGTACCCCTACGGGTTCACGCACCCCAGTTTAGACCGCTGGTCTAAGGTATTGAGAGTTTTCAAACTAATGAATATCAAACTCTGACAACTCTTTCTCAAATTTAAACACCTAATATTGTTTTCATTTTCAAAATATTTTCCTCTTAATTCAATCCCATGCAAAGCATGCTGGGATTTACACATCCATTACGCCACATCCATTTAAAAAAATTACTTAATATTACTAGGTTTGCAAAAATTTGAAAATGTTCAAATATTACAAATTAATTAATATGAATATTAAACTCTCTTTACTCATTTAATTTATTACATCAAGTAAACCTGTAAACATTAAATATCTCTAAATTATTCTAGTTGTCCATCACACTTAATATTACAATAAAAAAATTATGAGAGTAAATTAATTAGTCATTTCCTTCAGTGTGCAATTATTTCTAGTGTAGTCACGCAGTGTGAAAACAATGGTGATCCAAGAGTTCTGAAAATCCCACAGTATAAATCCTGCATTACTGACTAATCAATGGTAAGATCCTCAGAAAGGAAGACAACCCACAATTGAAGAATGGAAAGACTGAGTGAGTGAAGGTGGTTGTGAATGTGTGTAGATGTGTTTTAGCTACAGGATCAGAGAAAGACACCATTCCACTGTCATAGTCTAGTGAAACCCTCACACGCTCAAGCTTCTCTTTAACACGAAAACCAGCCCATTTAGTCTGTTCGTCTGAATGATACCACACACACCAGACACCAGTGTTATAAAAAACTCGCCCCTTACAATGGTTTATTGCTGTAGTTACTCCAAGACCCCAGCCTGAGTTGTCTTTAACCTCCACATCCCAGCTGTGTTTCCCTGAGTTAAACCCCTCTGAACCCAGAACACAGAAATACCAGTCGAATCTCTCGGGATTAGGAGGTAGAGGTTGTCTGTTCCCAGTCCCTCTCCCGCTAGTTAGATCATCTGACAAGATAAGATGTGGATTTGCAGTGTTCGGATCCAGAATCACAGGAGCTGAAGAGACACAATCAACAGCGGCTTTTATTCTCCTGTTCATATCATGATAAAAAGTGGACCAAACACAGACTATAAATTATGACCCTTATACTATTGCTCGAGTATATTGGCCAATTTAATATAAAATTTAAAATTAAGACTATATTTTACAACTACACAATACACACATATACAGTTCATAATACATCAATAACTTTATATCTTTAAAGAAACTTTACTAAAAGAAACATTACTGAAATTGTGTTGTGGTTCAAGAAAGAAGTATGTCTCGGGTTACGTATGTAACCATAGTTCCCCGAGAGGGAACGAGACACTGCGTCTAACCAGAACGCTAGGGGAACACCTCTTTTATACACGTCTTGAAGCACATGTGAAATCAATCTAATGTAATTAAGCAGGTGTCGTCAGACCAGAGAGTATAAAAGCCTTTACTGAGCATTCAGTATCAACTTCGAATTTGCTTGAAAGAAGTAACAGGCAGAAGAGAGTATGGCGGAAAACGCAGTGTCTCGTTCCCTCTCGGGGAACTATGGTTACATATGTAACCCGAGACTTTCCTCATTTAGGGAACTTCAACACTGCGTCTAACCAGAACACTAGGGGAACGCAATACCCACTAGGCCAGACTCACTGCTAACTGTGAACGCACACTACGCAGTGAGAATAGAGGACCCTGGTGAGGGGTCTACATCGTGTTGATAGTGACGCACAAATGTATGTGGTGTCGACCATCCTGCCGCCAAACAAATGTCAGAAAGGGCTGAGCCCGAAATAGAAGCTTTGGAGGCCCCTACAGCCCTTGTGGAGTGGGCCTTAACAAATTTAGGTGCGGGACGTCCAGCAGCCTGATAGGTAATTAAGATAGTCTCAACTATCCAATTACTTATTGTCTGCATATTCGCCAGACTCCCCCTCTTTGAAGGTCCGAAGCAGACCAGTAACTGTTCACTCTTTCTCCAGTTGATAACCCGGTTAACATATGTATTCAGAGCACTAACTGGGCAGAGTAAGTTTAACTTCTCTTGGTCCGACGACTGAAATGGGGGCAGGTGAAAGGCCTGTAGCACAGCAGGTCTCGCCACATGAGTGAGGCACGTACCCCGGTCTGTGATAAAGAAAGGCTTTGGACATGCCTGGAGCAAACTCCAGAAATGAAGGTGCAACCGACAAAGCCTGGAGGTCACCAACCCTTTTTAAGGAAGAAATAGCTAATAAGAAAGCTGTTTTTAGTGTCAGAAACTTATCTGATGCCTCCTGCAGTGGCTCAAATGGGGGAACAGAGATGCCCTCGAGCACCAATGTTAAATCCCATGTCGGTACCCTGTGTGTGCTGACAGGCCTTAGCCTTATGGCTCCACGAAGGAAGCAACGAATTAGCGGATGCTGTCCTAGTGACTCATCATCTAGGAGAGAACTGTAAGCCGCTATAGCTGACACGTACACTCTCAGAGTGGATGCAGCCAACCCAGCAGACAGGCGATCTTGGAGAAATTCCAGCACTGAGGCTACCTGACAGCTGACTGGGTTCAGCTGGTGTTCTTTGCACCAAGCTGAAAAGAGAGCCCATTTTAGCGCATAAAGCTTCCTTGTGGAGGGAGCCCTGGAGCTTAGAATGGTCTGAGCAACCGCGGTTGACAGTCCATACTCTATGAGGTGGGCCCCCTCAGAGGCCACACCCACAGTTTCCACAGGTCGGGTCGGGGATGAAGTATCATTCCTCCCGCCTGGGACAGAAGGTCCCTCCTGATGGGGATCTCCCACGGGAGACCTGCCAGCAGGGCTATGAGGTCCGAAAACCAAATTCTGGTTGGCCAAAATGGGGCTACCAGCAGTAACTGTACTCCGTCTTGAAGGACCATCTCCAGGACTCCTGGGAGCAGAGCGACCGGGGGAAAAGCATACAGACTTAGCCTCGGCCATGTCTGAATCATGGCATCCAGTCCCAGAGGGCCTGTATGCGAGAGAGAAAACCACAGTACGCAATGCGTGGTCTCTTGGTAAGCAAACAGGTCTACCTGTGCTTTTCCGAATCTTTCCCAAATGGTCTCCACCACCTCAGGGTGAAGTTTCCATTCCCCGGATCTCACCACCTGCCTCGACAGGAGATCTGCTCCCATGTTCAGATGGCCCGGGACATACATTGCCTTGATGGACAGAATTTTGTTCTGGGCCCACAGGAGGATCCGATGTGCTAGTTTGCATAGCATTCGAGATCCGTGCGGACTAGAATTTGATGGCCCCTTAGATCTGGGAGAAAGTGTTTTAAGGCCAGAAACACGGCCATCATCTCCAGGCAGTTTATGTGCCAGTAACGATGATGTTCTCCCCATCGTCCCGCTGCGGGAAGCCCCCTCAGGGTTGCTTCGCAGCCCGTTAGAGAAGCATCTGTCATAAGCATAACACGATGACAGACAGCCCCCAACACTGGGCCCTGGGACAGGAACCAGGGCGTTTTCCACATACAGTAAGGCTCGAAGGCAGCGCCGCGAGACCTTGATCATGCAGAAAGAATTCCCCTTGAGGGAAAACCCGCTGGATTTGAGCCACCACTGCAGGGGTCTCATGTACAGCAGACCGAACGGAATTACGCTGGTTGCTGCTGCCATGAGACCCAACAACCTCTAAAGGTGTTTCACAGTGATGAACTGGCCTAGTTTGACTCTGTGTACGGCTGACTGAATCGAAGCGATTCGTGGCGGGGACAGACGTGCTCCAATCGTCATGAAGTCCCATAGCACACCTAAAAAAATGGTCGTCCTGGCTGGAACAAGCACACTTTTTGCGGTGTTCAACCGAAACCCCAACCTTCTGATATGGGTGAGAACAACATCTCGATGTCGAACTGCCGTATCGTGAATCTGAGCTAGAAATAGCCAATCGTCTATGTAGTTTAGGATACGTATACCCTGCATACGAAGTGGAGCTAGTGCCGCTTCGACTATTTAGGTGAAGGTTCGAGGTGACAGAGCTAGGCCGAATGGAAGAACCCGATACTGGAACGCTTCGCCCCCGAAAGCGAACCTCAGGTATTTCCTGTGTTGGGGAAGGATGGAAATATGGAAGTATGCGTCTTTCAGGTCTATCGTCACGAACCAGTCCTCGGACTGAATTTGTGACACCACGTTTTTGATGGTTAACATCCTGAACCTGAGGGCCCCGACCGACTGTTTTCGATTTCTCAGATCTAATATGGGACGCGATCCCCCATCTTTTTTGGAAACTATAAAATACCGGCTGTATAACCCTGACTCTCTGTCGAGTGGGAGAACACGCTCTATTGCGCCTTTCTTTAATAGAGCCAGTACTTCCTGTTCCATAACCAGAGCCTGTTCTGGCTTCACTACGGTGGGTGTAATACCATTGACGTGAGATGGGCGTGCACAAAACTGTATTTTGTAGCCATGTTCCACTGTGAGCAGGACCCACTGAGACACCATCGGCAGGTGTTTCCACGCTGCCAGAAAATGTGCTAGGGGTACCAGCCTCTTGAGACTGACCTCTGGTTGCTCTTGGACCCCCCGAGGAGGGGGTGGGGCCCCCAATGCCCTCAGACACTGAGGAACGCCACCCCGGGAGACACAGAGCCAGCATAAGTGGTGAGGTGGTCTCTCCCTTTCTCCACGGACCCTGGTTCAGTGAGGGCGCCTGGTTCAATAGTGCTCTCGATGTCCAGGGGGACCTTGGGAAGCCTGACTCCCAACACGTCAGGACTTCCTTTTATCCTTCGCCTTCCTCGAAACTATTATCGTCCTCGTGGGAATTTTAGGGGAAGGCTCAGGCTGAGAGCATGCTCTCCAGGCCCTCTTTTTCTGAGGGGGAGCCCGGGAAGCCACGCTCTCCTTTTGTACCGCATGGTATGAGGAGCTGGTTGATGGCTGGGGCTGTCTTTTAACAGCCCCTTGACTTTTTGGTCTTGGGGGAAGAAAGTCCCCGAGGGAGCTAGAGCGTTTTTTGACTTGGTCAAAGGATTCGGCGATGCGATCGACGGCTTCTCGAAGCTGTTCACGTGTCGCTCCCCCGCCATCTAGGCACTCTTTAATTAGGTCAGCCTGATATGCCTGCAACACTGACATAGTGTGCAGGCATCCGACAGACTGACCAGCCGTCATAAATGCTAGACCTGATGTTATTCTTAATGGTCTAGACGACAAAGGAGGGACCCTTGCAGATTTTAAATCTGGACGCAGATGACGCGCTAAATCTTCTTCTATTAAAGGCATTTCTTTACATGCTTTTTCCCTAAGCCCACGAACTGCTGAATAAATAACCGTTTTCGGTGTCATTAAACGTGCTGAATAAGGATTTTTCCATGATTTAGAAACAGCCTCATGTAGCTCGGGGCAAAAGGGGAGGTCCCTCAGTGGAGGATCTACTCTGCTGGGTAATTCTCTCTCATCCAGCAATTCTGTCAGATGCAGCTGCTGCTGCTCACGTGCTGGCTGCCACTCTATTACGTCAAACCTGTCAGCAGCACGTGAAATCACCTCCACTAACTCCTCATATTCCACTGACTGGGGCGGCAGATTCCCAGACCCTCATTGCGTTTGCTGCAGCGTTTGCTCGGAAACGGAGGACGCCGCCCTCCCACGAGGCGCAGAAGAAACCGCAGAGTGTGCTTCTGACGCTCCCGAAGGAGAATTAGATCTCACGGATCCAGAAAGAGAAAGGACAGAGTCCATCTCCATCTTATCCGCCAGATCCCCACGACTGAAGTCGACGCTCAGCCTCAGCACGAGCGGGACCCAAACCGCGAGGGGAACGCGCCACTGGAGCTTTATTAAAGAACTCCCTCCGACTACGCAGCACTTTGCGGGAGAGAGCGTCACAGTGCCCACAGTCAGCATTCTCAAATGCTGCCATGGCATGCTCCTCTCCCAAACACTCTAAACACAAATCATGTGAGTCACCAGCCGTAATAAAGCGAGGGCATGGAGGCACACAATGTTTAAAGCTTTTCTCTGCCATATCAAAATAAAAAAGTAAGTTGTCAGTATTTTGTGTATGCAAGTCAGTAATGAAAGTTTACAGAAAGAGGGCGTATTTTCACGTGCGTGCTTCTTGAAAGCAAAGAAGTTAACACTGAATGCTCAGTACAGGCTTTTATACTCTCTGGTCTGATGACACCTGCTTAATTACATTAGATTGATTTCACATGTGCTTCAAGACGCGTATAAAAGAGGTGTTTCCACTAGCGTTCTGTTTAGACACAGTGTTGAAGATCCCTAGATGGGGAACTGTAGATTTTTCCTTCAAATTTTCAGCTGATTGATATTACCCAAGCATTGTTGAGATTTTATTTTAAAAAGTTACAATTTTGTTGTTGTATTGTGGATCATTTGGTTTATTTTTCTGTATGTACTTAAGAATTTTTGAAATGAGATTTGCATCCTGTAGTGTAGACTCTTACTGTAGTGGACGATGTCCTGCATCTTCCTCCAGACTCTGTACTGCAGGTTCCCCAAGTACTGAGACACATTAATCAAAGCTCCAGAAGGCGTCTGTGGATCCGGCTGTGAGATCTGGACTCTGGAAGTACATTCAGGAGTCAGAACTGCAGTGGCTTTGGCTACAGAAGCAGAGACAGCAGCAGATCACTCACCTTTTCATTGAGCCTGGAAACTCCTTCAGAAAGCAGACGCCATTGGCTTTTAGCATCTCCTCTGTGTCTCTGATCGTGCATGAAAGAGCTGAGATGTGTGTGTTCATCTCCTCCAGCTTCTCCTTCATCACCTGCCTCTTCTGCTCCTCTTCCTCTCTCAGTGCAGTGATTGTAGCTTCTTCTTCATCTCGGAGAAACTGATGAAGCTTCTCAAACTGCTGTTTAATCTGATGCTCAGTGTCATCGGCTTGAGTCTTAAAGAAAACCACAGACAATTCATCATCAACACAACATGTCATTAATTAAAGCCCTTAATTAAAAATAATCTACAATAATCTACAACAAACCATCGTTTACAGTGAATTTGTAACAGCTAAAGGTTGTTTTGTCTAAAACCACATATTTTTATGCAAATTTAAAACAAAATTAGGGCAGAGCAAGTTTAAATATTGCATTTCATACACCGTGGCAATTCAAAGTACTCTACATTAACGGGAATAAAAGTGAAAAGTATAAGAAAATAAAAACAGATAATAAAAATGCTTGAAAACTGATAACAACAGATAAAATGTGTTAAAATGGGCTATGAAAGAATGAAAAGGAAAAAAGACACAATTTTGCAATCTGTCGGATGCAGCACAGTGCTCATTCAGTAAAGGCACAGCTAAACAGATGTGTTTTCCGTCTGGATTTGAATGTACCTAATGTTGGAGCACATCTAATCATTTCTGAAAGCTGATTTCAGCAGCGTGGGGCGCTGTTAGTAGCTGAAAGTGGATTTACTGCTTTGATGAAGTTTGCATGTTCTCCCCGTGTTGGTGTGGGTTTCCTTCCGATTTCCCCCACAAGTCCAAAAACATGTAGTACAGGTGAATTGGGTTAGCTAAATTGTCCATAGTGTATGTGTATGTATGGATGTTTCCCAGTGATGGGTTGCAGCTGGAAGGGCATCTACTGTGTAAAACATAAGCTTGATTAGTTGGCAGTTCATTCCGCTGTAGCGACCCCAGATTAAAAAAGGGACAAAGCTGACAAGAAAATGAATGGATGATTGAATGATATCTGAAATAATGATGGGTGGTTATTCTTGAATGATTCATTCATTTTGAATGAATCTGTCACTGTTTATGGGTCTGTGTGTTCCTTCTATGTTGTGTGTGTAATGTTTGACAGATCTGTTCTGTGTTTATCTTCGTCATTTGTGTGTTCATGTGGTATTGTTGTCACCGGTGATTCCTCGTTGCTTAGCACCACTCAGCTGATTCATCAGCGCACTACAGCTGCTGTGCATTCCTATGCTTATATATAGTTGGTGCTCCAGTTTCTCATTGTTAGTTCGTTGTTGTTTACGTTTATGTCTGTGTCTTCTCAGGCTGTCCTAACTGAGTTCCATTGGTGGCGAGTACGCTTCCCGAAGCGGAGTTGCTTCTCGTTGTCAAGTGTTCACTTTACATAAATTTGCAACCTTCCTCATTTCCTACAGAAGAGAGTACGTTGCATTTGTTGTCACCTTACTGTCAGGGAAAGCTGCAGCCGTGCTGTTTCTCTTTTCAGTCCTTTTCCGTGGAGATCAAGAGAGTTTTCGATCAGGCAGCTTTAGGCAGTGAAGCGAAATGCTCGCTGAACTCTGTCATGAAAGCTTAACGAGATTTATGCTCTGAAGTTGGCAAAAACTTTAGATGGTCTCATTGATTTGGCCATCCGAGTGGACACCAGGCTGCAACGCAAGACACCACGTACATAACATGTCTTGACACACTTTTTTCTTCACCTCCGCTGGTGGTAGACACACCCACCTTTGACCCTGAGCCCATGCGACTCTTGGTACAGGAGAAACAACATCACTGCTGGAGATATAGTAGCTCCGTGTCCAGTAAGTAGGTAAGAAGTTATTGGCGGGTGAGGTCATTTTGGACAAACCCTCCTGTGCTGCCACTCTGTTATCAGTTAAGTTATGCTGGAACTCTGACAATCATGAATGTCAAGTGTTTATTGACTCCACACTTGCTTACAGTCTGAAATTTGCTTCCCCTTTCTCAACCTATCGCTGTCAATGGTCTCAATGGGCTTTCTCTTCCCCTATCACACACTCCACTGGTCCCATAAAACTAATTACATCTGGCAAACATTCTGAATCCATTACAGTTTTTTTTTTAACAGAGACCACCTGTGGTCCTTGAAAATCCCTGGCTGGTATTACACAAGCCCCATATAAATTGGGGTCATAAATCAGTGTTTTCGTGGAGTGAGAGTTGTCATGAGTCTTGTCTTGTGTCTGCTTGTTCAGTTGTCTTGTTCTGTTTCAGGAGGAACACATAGACCTGTCTAACATGCCCAGTGAGTACCTTGACCTGAAGAGAGCATTCAGCAATCTCGAGTTGCCTCTCTATCTCCTCATCGTCCCTATGACTGTGCCAAAGACTTATTACCAGGTACGTCTCCGCCTAAGGGCAAATTATACTCGCTTTCTATCCAAGAGAGGAAGGCCATGGAGAAATATATTTCTGATTCTCTAGCACCCAAGATCATCCGTCCCTCTTCTTCACTGGCGGGAGCAAGGTTTTCTGTCTGTGAATTGAATATCGTGGGCTGAATAACATCACAGTGAAAAATACTTATCCTTTGCCGTTGATGTCTTCAGCTTTTGAGTGTCTGCAGGGGGCGGCCTTTTTCACAAAAATAGATCTATGCAACGTATATCATTTGGTCTGTATATGAGAGGGGGATGAATGGAAGCCTGCATTTAATAGCCCCAGGGGGCATTTTTGTCAATGTTTATTAATTTATTGCGTTTTTCCCTTCGGCCTCAGTTTATCAGTTTATCTATGTCTACCTGGATGACATACTGATATTATTTACTCTCTCCAAGAACATGTTCAACACAACAGACAAGTGTCTGTTCCATTTTTGGATCCAGAGAAGATTCAAGTTGTGGTAGATTGGCCAACCGCAGACTCCTGTAAATCCCTACAGTGGTTACTAGGCTTTGACAATTTTTTCTGGTGTTTTTTTTTTTGCAATTTCAGCCAGCTCGCCGCACCTCTGACCACCTTGACATCCCCCAAGACTTTGTTCAGGTGGTCTAGTGCAGCGCAAGTTGTATTTACCAAACAGAAAGGCAGCTTTCTTTCAGCCCCCATTCTCGTAACCTCTGATCCCCTGAAGTTGGTATGTCAGAGGTGGGGGTTGGTGCAATCCTGTCTCAGCATTGCTTTTCGGACGGCAAGATTCACTCCTGCGTGTATTACTCTCATCGGTTATCTACCGACGAGCGAAATTTCGACATTGGTAATAGAGAGTTGTTTGGTGTCAAACTTGCTTTGGAGGAGTGGCGTCATTAGTTTGAAGGGTCCCTTTTATTGTTTGGACCGATCACAAGAATCTTGAAAACATCAAGTCTGCCAAAAGATTAAGCTCTAGGCAGGCTCGGTGGGCTTTATTTTAATGAGGAGATGTGCTGCAGGTATGTGTGGCAATCAGTCTATGGGGATGGCGTGATGTCAGAAGTCCGGTGATGATGACCTCTGCTGGCCAACGAGGGGAATGACTGGGACCGAGTCGGTGACAAACTCGTTGTGTTAGTTTTTATTTCTTGTGTTACAAGGAAGATTGAGTCGAAGGTTCACAAAGCCTCGGAAGAGGTAACGCCCCCGCTTGGATGCCCAGCGTGTTGGTTGTTTGTGCCAGAGGAGCTTCTGTCTGACGTCATATAGTGGGGACACTCTTCCAAAGTGGCTTGTCATCCGGGGGTGAGCCGCACATCATTGTTATTTAACAATGATTCTAGTGGACGGTTATGGCTCGCGATAAATGCGATTTTGTTTTGGCTTGCTCTGTTTGTGCCGTTTCAAATACTTTTAATCGCCCTCCTGCTGGGCTCCTTCAAACGCTGTCAGTGCCTTAGAAAGCCTGGTCCCATTTATTGCTAGATTTTGTAACAGGTCTCCAATCCTGCAATCATGCGATTTTAACCGTGGTCGACTGATTCTCAAAAGCCACTCACTTTGTCCTTCTGCCCAAATTACCCTCAGCCAGAGAAACAGTGGTTGCTGTCATTAATCACGTCTTTTGCATTCATGACCTCTTGACAGATATGGTTTTTGACTAGGGACCCCAGTTTGTTTAAAAATTTTGGAAAGAGTTCTGTCATTTTTTTGGGTGCCACTGTTAGCCATTCGTCTCGGTTTCATCCCCAGATAAACAGTCAAACTGAGAGAGCCAACCAAGATCTTGAACGTACATTGCGATGTTTGGTTTCTCAGAATCCCTCCTCCAGGAGTGAACAGCTCTCATGCACATAATTTATTACCAGTGTCGGCTACGGGCCTCTCTCTATTTTAGTATAGTTTAGGTTAACAGCCACCAAATTGTCCTAGTCTGAAATCTGAAGACGCAGTTCTTTCCGCCAACGCCTTTGTCCAGAGGTGCTAACGCACATGGAGCAGGGCCAGACAGACCCTCTTTCAGGTGGGTGCATGCACCAAGGCTAAAACCAATTGCCACCAGTCTAAACCTCTCGTTTACGTCATCCGTCAAAAAGTGTGGCTTTCTTCTTAAACATTCATTCTTTTAATGTGACACGAGAACGATGAGTCCTTTCAGGGAATGATTTGTTCATTCATGCATGCAGGCATTTGTGCAGGTGGAGTAGAAGATTAGTTCATCACATGAAAGATGCCAATCATATGCATTTAGAGCTGGAAAAGATTTGAGTCATTAATTTCTTGAGTCTTTGGTTTGAGTCATATCTTTACATGCCGTCACGTGTGACTCAAAAACCAAAGGACTCAAAAGGTGAACTAATCATGGGTGTTTCCGGCTCAGACTGTACGCATTGGCTAAGCTTATATGGGACTGTCAGTATGACGTGAACAAATGACTGAATTAAAGACATGTCAGATGAGCTGTGCTAATCATAGACAAAACACCAGATAATCATAAAGGATTATTTTCTCTTTCTTAGTATAATAAAATTTTAGTTGTGACTTGTTTGTAGTGTGATCAACGTTTGGGCTAGTTGTAGATGTGTTTGGAAGCATCTCTTAACATTGTAAGGTCATTTTTGCAAACTAAACAAAATGAATGAAATGACACACACACACAAAAAAAGATTTGTTCATCTCGATGAACAAGACTTAAAGATCCAAGTCAGTAAAATTACTGAATTTCCCATCACTATTCTGTAATGTATTGAGGTCCTATGCCAGTCATTCATTCATTCATTTTCTTGTCGGCTTAGTCCCTTTATTAATCTGGGATCGCCAGAGCGGAATGAACCGCCAACTTATCCAGCACATTTTTTTGCAGCAAATGCCCTTCCAGCTGCAACCCATCACTGGGAAACATCTATACACACTCATTCACACACATAAACTACGGACAATTTAGCTTACCCAATTCACCTGTACCGCATGTCTTTGGACTTGAGGGGAAAACTGGAGCACCCGGAGGAAACCCACGCGAACGCAGGGAAAACATGCAAACTGACCCAGCTAAGGCTCGAACCAGCGAACTTCTTGCTGTGAGGCGACAACACTACCTACTGCGCCACCGTGTCGCCCCATGCCAGTCATTAAAAATTAAAAGCAAAGAAAATAAAACTTTTGGCCATGTTTGGGTATTTACTGATTGTGTAATAGTTGCCAAGAAACAGTCACAGGAGAATATGTATAGAGTATTTTACAACAGTTTTATATGTAGCTCAACCAATCAGAATCAAGGACTACAATTAAACAGTTTAACAATACAATATTAATACAGTCATTAAAAAAAATCAAAAGCAGAATAGTACACTTCATTAAAAATTATTATGCATTATGATAAATCAAAATGATGTACCAGTTCTTACCTTGATGTGTTGAATGGTTTTCTCAAACTCTTCTTTAATGTCTTTATTGTGTTTAATTTTCTCCTGTAAGGACTTCAGTGCTGTATTGAGATCTTTCTAGAATTGAACAAATAAAAATACACAAACTCCAGATTACAATGAAAATGTAAGATATCCGACTTCTGTAGTTAACCATATCGTCACCAGAGATTCATACCTGTCAACCCTACTGTTTTTCCTGTGATTCTTCTGTATTTTACAATTCTATCCCGCTATTATCCAGTAAAGGTATTTTTCCATATTTCTCCCATTTTTTTCAATCTTTCTATGAAAGGTGGCAATAAACATTAAAAAGCAAATCACCAGGGGACGCCCCTTGCTCTTAAATGTGAATCTGTTCTATTCTTTCATTTTATTTAGGCTTGAAAACTCTTTGAAATAAATATATAAGCAGAGGGATTTCCTTACTTTCCATTACAGGCAATGCAAATCAATTCTGTGCACATTTTTTGAAGCACAGCGAAAATGGACACTGGGTTTTGGGTGCGTGTTTGAACAGACATACACATAATATTAATAATAACATCTAAACATGATGTCGATCTTGGTGGATTTTCTTTTAAACACAACAAATTTTGTCTTAAATGAGCATACAAAGTTAGAAAACAACACACAACATTGGAATTTTCACATCCCAATGATGACCGGTATAGAGATTGCCTGAATGTTGACTCTCACTCAAGACCTACACAGCTGATACATATTTTCTGGACTATTTAAGAATCACACACACTTTCTCATTGCAAAGTTTTGTTCTTCTCCAGTTAAACTGTTCTCAGTTTACACTGTTATTTATTATAATTACCCCTAGACTGTCTTCTGCTTACTGACTGACTTTGCTGCCTTCTCTGGTTGATGAAATGAGCTGTTTTTATACAGGCATTTAAACACATGATGAGGTATTGTGTTTAATCATTGGTCTAGACAGTTTGGTTGATTCAAATATTTGATTATTTACTCAACTATAAACAAAACTGCAGTTGAGAGTGTGATTATATCAAATATCACATACATTTATAACTAACAGAGGTGGAAAGTAACAAAATACATATACTCACGTTACTGTAGTAGTGTACTAGAGTAGTGTTTAAAATCTGTAATTTTACTTTTACTTAAGTATGATTTGCCTAAAGTATTGTTCTTCGATACATTTTAAATCATATGCGTTACCGAGTAAAAAATTAAATATATGAAGAAATGCAATGATAAAAGAAAAAGGAAATCGCACCTGGGGCCTCATATATCAACGCTACGTACACACAAAAACTTTGCGTCTGAATGCGCGCAGCTCCACGGCAGCTTTATGGCTGGCATACGCACATTTTTTGTGCGTGTCTGTTTTATTTCCATTGGCGACTCCTAGAGGTAGTTGTGTTAAATTGCTCTTTACAAAGTGTCTGAGCCTTGCAATGGCAGCTGTATGTGACGGGTTCATCTAGCAGGTATATAACGTTTCCATACCATACAGTTGACCAGCTAAACATTAAAGCACAATTTGCAGCGGTCGCCTGTTTTCCCAATGTAATCTGAGCGATCTACTGCACGCACATTGCTATAAAGACACTATCTGAAGATGAATTTGCATGCGTGAATCAGAAACATTTCCATTCAATAAATGTGCAAATAAAATATGATGCACAAACTTATTAATGATTCCTAGTTGTCTTTCTCGTGATAAATAGTGGGCAAAATCTGATATGTAGCGGGGAAAAAAGAAGAAAGAGTTCATCAGACGCTGGATTCGAACCGAGTTCATGCTCGAACATGTCAATTCATGATCACATGCATCTAATGAGGTGCGCCACTGAGACTAATTAAGTTAACATTTTACACCTATAAACCACACTATTTCTCTTTTAACTCCACAGTGCGATGTTCAGACCCAACTGTGTTAACCGCATCAGCTAAACTCTCCCACTCTATTTTTTTCTTTTGTTGTTAATTCTGGAGAACAAACTTGCAAATAACACCGCTTTTCTCCGGTCTACCTCCGAAAGCAGCACCTCCAATTCACATTCTGTTCAAAGTTTCTCTTTTTGCTTGATTTTGCCTTTGCTTTTTCGTTTGGTTTTGCCAAGGTAGAGTCATTAGCATAATCATACGGGGGAGGAGGCAGGGAGGGGTTTTGTGCTCGTGCATGTTGCGCTCAGTTTCACGTTCATTCGGATGTACAAAAGAATATGCGTGAGATTCGGCGTTCGCAGTGTTTCATACATCTGAATTTTTTTCTGTAAATGTGCGTACGCAATGTTTTAGTATGATTTCCACGCAAGTCTTCGTACATGAGGCCGCTGGAAACCACGTCACTGCAGCAGCAGTGTGGGAAAAATCAGGTAAACTTGTCTATCTACTCTTGCTGGAGTTGGATTTGTCGCCGGAGTTTAGAAAGTTTACCAGCAAAATGCCTGTCAACCCCAGCAATGACAAGGTAAGCTACTTTCTATGCCTCATTATTAATTTTAGCCATGCCTGCATGTACCCTTATAGGCGTAATATGGAAGTTTATGATGCAGAACATAAATAAATATATTACACGTGGAAAGTTTAGAATGCTTAGTATAAAAGCATCTTCAGTCCGTTGTTTAATGTAATGTTTGCATATGTATACTATAAATCTCCTCACTAATGCTAAAGTCTGATAATCTTCGTAGAAATGATCTTACGTTGAGATATTTCCTATTCTTGGTGGCGTATATCCCACATTGTATATGATTGCCATGACAACCTAAAGCCCTAAACTGACAATTCTGTCACTTACTCGCCATTTGCTTGTAATAAATATGTTTGATTCTCTTCCTTATGTTGAACACAACAGACGATCTAGCAGGAGCCAATCTAGCAACAACCAAAAAAACTGGGGTAAAACAAACTCTCATATTTTAAAGGCATGACGGGGGCAAATAGTCCGAACTGAGACCCACTTCATATTGTATATCTAACAGGCAGTGAAGATCGCTGATTTTTAAATAAATCAGATTTTAAGCATGACAATTATTAAATGAATAGACAGATTGTCGGAAGCTATTGGGCTGCCTGGCTAAAAATTAAAAGTCTGTAAGATGGCTAAATCTCTCCAAAATATCAGACCCTGAGAACTGTTATGGAATTTCATGAGACAAGATGCAATGCTCCAATGCATTTTCTAATCTGAGAAGTGATGAAGAAACCACTGTTGACAATGCAAACACAGGCTGGAGAAACAGAGCTACTCTGCAGCAGGGGGTAATGTGAGAAAGTCACTCTTCTCCTGCCACCTCAAGCCCCCTTCTTGACCCTTATGTCACCTTCTGATCAGAGCACATTTCACATGAAATGTTCAAGGTTTTAATATGGTGTATCTTGCAGCACTATATTCATGTTTGGTATCATTTTAAATGTCTCTGTGTGATTAGTAAAGTGGTCTTAATTTTACAGTAATATTTCACTGGTATATGTTGATTTGGTTTTTACTTTGATAAGATCTTGATAAGATGCTCTCCCTCCTAAAGCCTGGTTTATACTTCTGCGTCAAGTGACCGGCGTAACCCTCGGCGCATGCAACGCGCGTAGCTGTGCATTTATACTTCTGCGCGCTGTCTCTGTTGGGGGGAGAGATTTTGTAAAAAGACACCCTATTGCAGCATCTCTGAGACTTATGCTGCAATGTACTTCTCTGGTCAGGTATGCATCTCTAACTCTTTGATTTATCTTTGATTAATGGATGTTATGTTGTTAGTCTCATCTCTGCATTGGCTTCCTGATGATTTATTATGTAATTGGCAGAATACAATTTTACCTGACAAATAAAATGTTAAGTTTTGATTAATTCTGGAGTTTTGCGAATTCATTGTATCCAGTAGATTACGAGGAGTCTTCATTACCTTTATAGTATGGCATAAATTGAATTGATTAATAGGCGCATTTGATTAAATGTAGCCATAGAGAGCCTATAACATGTAGACCTTTTAATCATTTAACCACTGAAAGCAGCAAGTTGTATGGGCTTGGCTAAGGATCTATTTTTTTAAGACTAGGTAAGCGTTATGCAACCAGTTTATTCAAATATAGTTAATCCTGCATCCTCTGACTATTTTCAGAGTGTCGACATATTGTCCGTGAGAAGATGCGGAAACCCGGGGCGTGGAACTCTCAGCGATGTTGGTCCCTAATGATTGTACAATTTAAATTATAGGACCTCAGAAAATATCAAAACTCTAAATTAAATCATAAATGATGAATGTAATCCGTTCTTACAAATGTAATTTATGTAAATACTGTAAAAGTTAATTACAGATGTAATTACATACATGTATTTAATCAAGCATAAGTACACAGTAAATACATGTATTTACACAATAAGTACATTGTAACAAACTATTAATTCCTGTGTAAGTACATATTAGTTAAGGCCACTTAATATAAAGTGGGACCTAAAATTCTTTTCAGAAGCACTAGAAAAGGCTTACAAGCATTAAACCTTCGACCATGCAGTTAGTTTCGTCATTGGGCTAATAGATGGACTCTTACAAGTCCATTTTGTATAAATTGTTAAATACGATAATCTGTAAAATATTTTAAATAATTTTTGGTGTTGGTCTTTAATTTTGTTACTTATACAAAGTTACTTATACAAATAAAAACAACTAATTGGAGACTTATATCATCTTGTCCCTTTTGAGAAATAGTTACTCTACTTTTTACTCATGAGTACGTTTTTAGTTATTTTTTTACTTGAGTAGATTTATAGACATGTAACTTTATTTTTACTTAAGCAAAATGTTTTGTAAGCAACAGCACTTTTACTTGAGTAGAAGATTTTATTACTCTTTTCACCTCTGATAACTAAAATGAATGTTTCTAACAGATCCTCAACTCTATTGACTCGACTTTAGAAAAGAGAAGACTTTATTCTCATAAGAGTCATTTGTCTTACCTTATGTGATGAAACTACTTCACCGATGGGTCTAAATTTGTGATTGTCATGTTGTTTTGAAGTAACACACACAACACACATCAGCTGTTTGTCCTCCAGACAGAAGAGTTTGAGTTTCTCACCATGTAAACTACAGATCTCCTCTGACGAACATCCATATTTCCTCTCCTTTAAAAATGACTCGCACAAGTTTTTTAACACAAGGTTACAGGGAGGAAAATCTTTTGAGGATCTTCTCCTACAGACGGGACACTCCTGAGTTTTCTTGGTTTTCCAGAACTGTTGAAGACATTCTTTACAAAAACTGTGACTACAAGATAAAACTACTGGATCCTTAAAAATGTCATGACACATAGGACAAGAAAAATCCTCCTCTGATAGGGAAGCCATTTTCCCTGTTTGAGCTCCAGCAAAGTACTTTCACTTTCTGTCCAATGCTTCAAAAATTAACCACAAGAATCACAAATATCTGCTGCCCGTTCAGAAGCAAAGTTCTTTAAAACCCTGAGTGAAGAGTTTGTCTTCTTTCTCCACTAGTCCCTACTTGATTTTTCCCCCTTTTGATTGTCAATAAATTCTGAATAAAAATCAGTACATGGCGGAGAGGAGAAACCACACATCTGTCTCTTCCTGGTCAGAGCTGTAAAAGGTAGGAGTTTCTGATCTCATCAGGGTGTTTAAAAACAGGTTAAACCACCAGACTGGGGTTTCTTCAGGTTACATTTTAACAACTTTAAGAAAGGCTTAAAAACATTGCATGAAACTAAAAAAACATTCAATATTTTAGAACATCAACTTTATTTATGTGTATGTTTGCCTCTATACTTGTTACAGAGTTTGTCCAGATTCTGTCATGATCAAATCTTTGTCTTAAAAAAGATTTTAATTATGTAGCAGAATATAGAATATTGGCAAAAAAATAGTGCAGTGAATAATACTAAAATATACCGACAGTAGCAATTTGTATAATAATTAGAACAATAAACATAGCTGCAAGCAGCAATTATCGGGGCCAAGCAGCACAGCGGCCACATCAAAAACAAGCACAGCAACAAGCTACAGAGCAACTGGAAAATTTGCAAACATTTTGGCAGCATTGCCTTAGCCAAATTAGGTGAAAATTGGGCTAACAATATATGAAGAGTTCAAAATAGAAGGACAACAAGTGGTGTCAATTAGGGACTAAATTATATCAATGTTCTAAGAAAACCTTACGTCCTGGTACATATTTAGCACTATCCAGAATTGGATACAAGGGTATGATTTCAGAATGAGCCTGGGTTGTATGAATTACAGCAAATTTCAGGTGCTGCTGATCACAGAGAGCTGAACAGATCTTTTTTTAAAAAATTTTTTTATCTCAGTTTCTTTGCAAACTCTGTTTTGAGGACATGTTTCTATGTGTTACTATAGAGACATGTTAATACATGCCTTTCAATCTATTTGGTAGGTGGGGGAAAACCACACTCCTAATCAACGTTGCAGTGGACCTAAAAATGGGAGGGATTTTGATCCTATTTTAATGTAAGGAAATAGAAAAAATATACATTTCTTGTGTTTATATCACTTTAATATGACTGTGGACTACAGCTGAGGATCGTTCGGGCTTAATTTCTATAATTTTAGACGAGGCCAGGCTTGGGTGGTAAATGAACAATCATGTGTTGCAATTCGATTAGCGCAATAAAGTAATTAAAAAGTTTGTTACAACATTAAAATCCATCCCTGCAAAAGTGAAACAAATGATGTCTGAGAAGAAGTCAAAAAGAGGGAATTTTGACTGCGGTCAGGCCAGCTGCCAGTTCAAAAAGACCGGTCATTCTATCATAATGTAGACAAAGTATACAGGCTAATGTTGGCATTATTCTTTTAATATTCAGCTTAAACGTCACCTTAAAGCCGGATTGTGAAGTGATGAAACAAATCCTGCAGAGCCTTTATCTTAATTTTGTTATTGCCAAATATCTGTCTATTATGCCCTAAGTCTAGGGGAAAAAACATGGGCATAATAAACAGAAAAACAAGTGTTGGAGTGGTGGATTTCCCAAAACAAAACTTAATGCAAAAGATCCCCTTCAGTCGACAACCAAACTTGGACTCTCAGTTGAGAGTAATTAAATAGATTTATTATAGAAAAAAATTGTAATTTTAAATGAGCATCTCGTCAGGGTGGCAAAATAACAAATAGAAGAATCTATAAAGTAAATGAACTAAATTACCTATAAATATTTAAAGAAAAAATACAGGAAGCTTACCTTTCTCCCTAAACATAAACACAGTCAAAAGTGTCACGGTTTATGGATCTGTGTGTTCCTCCTGTATGTTATGTATCTTGCCTTGTGTGTTGTCATGTGTGAGGGTGTGTGTCTGTTTACCTTTTGTGTTGACAGCGTGCTATAGGATCAGCTGAAGTCATCAGCTGACTTAATCATCTTCCAGCTGGTCCTTATTTGCCTGGCTATATATTTCCTAATGTGGTATGTTCTGGTTATCAGTCCGTTGTTTGTCTTGTTTCTGTCTGTTATTTTCCAGAATCCTTCGTTGTTCATTGAAGTCTTTATTGTGACCCGTGGCTCTCTTGTTTTGAACTTTCTTGTCTCCTGTTCACTCCAGTGATATCCTTTGTCACATTTTTTCAGTTTTATTAAACACTTGCAATTGGATCCCTTTCGTCTAGTGTCGTGACACAAAAGTAATCAAATAAATAGGCAGGCCACCCCTACAAGCTCAAACTCTCAAAAGAAGTTTTGAGTATGAATAATGTTAACAAGTTTAAATGTTGGTCGTCGGCCGGAGGGGTAAAGGAAATCCAGGAGCTCCACTCTAAGCAGGTCGCAGCACAAATGAGCTCCCAAACCCTGTCGGAAGCTGCTTTTTATACAGGCCTCCAAGACCATCAGCCAATCAGAACACGAATCACGCCAGAATGGGAGCCTATGACGGGACAAAGAAAAAGACACATGCAATATGCAAAAAAACAAATAAACTTTAGTCGTAGCACCGTCATAATTTAGAATTTATTTACATTTAATTTTTTGTTGTGTTGGCCAATTTAAAGGCCAAGCGTATGTACCTAGGCCTATTTAGAGTTCTGAGATGTTACAATGTTACAGAGGACTTATCTGGCCTAACTTTTATGGCCTGAATACAGCTCTACTGTGTACACACTATACTTACACACAGTCCTGTTCAAACAGTTTACAAAAGTTGATATTTTACCTTAGGTGCCCTTTAACATCTTTTCAATCGTACAGGTGTGGATAAGTCTGTACAGCTTTGCTACTCACATGATTCCTTTTTTCTTTTCTTTTGTGAACCAGAACTGCAGTATTACAGGTATGTCAAAAGAAACTGCAAGGTTGGCATAGCAGGAGTGCTTTTTTTAATGAAGCATTTCCTTACATAAAAAAAGACTCAAGTTTTATGTTTGCTGATGGACTGTATGTGTATTATTTTTTTATTTGGCTTAGTGTTGGTTAAGCAGTGTAATGCACCATTAGTTCCAGCCAGTTCATCGTAGTTCTGTAATAATGCATTGATTTAATTAAAGAAACATACGCAAAGGGTTAATAGCCTGACACTGAGGAGAAGAAAATTAAATGAAATCCTTATTTTAGTTTTATATGTGCACAAAAGTTACGTTGTTGCTTGATAATATTCTGATCGAATCACTAAAGGCATATGAACAGTTTTTTTGGTATTTCTCTGGACTTTATGTAATTTCTGGTCTTTGTTTTTTTGTTGGACAGGACCCTCAATGTCTAAGGAGTATGAGGAAGCTCTTGGATTTCACCAGAATATCTTTATTTGTGTTCTGAAGGCAAACGATGGTCTCAGTGGTTTGAAACAACATGCTGTTGAGTAACTAATAACAGATATAATTGCAATTTTTTTGTAAACAAACTATTTAAGGTGGACTTTCCCTTATATAATGTTAAGATTTTAGAAACAAAATGACAAACAGGTGTGTGAATATTATAAAATCTGTGTAATGTGTGTATATATCTGCATGTATTGATAACTATTATTATTCAAATGAGTTTGATTTGAAGCTTGCATGATGTCATGCTAAAAAACTAAAGATCAGTGAGAGTAAACAAGTCAATTAATTATGTTTTTTCTTTGTTACATTTATAGCCAAATCAGTGTTGAAATTAAGTTGCGGTGATTAAATCACATTTGCTTATCCTTCTGACAATCAGCTTGAAGACATTATAACAGATCGCAAACTAATTTTTTGATCTGATTTATGTACAGTGCAGTTGTAAAGTAATATTTTCTGTTTTTTAGTAGAGATATTATATGAGACTTGCTTTGTTTACCAAATAAAGTGAATCTAATTTGATTTGCATTTTAAACATTAACTACAGGTTAAAAAGATATTATTATTTATTTCACATATTAAAGTTTTAGTTATGATACTCCAAATAATACTACCAAAATGGTACTACCAAAATAATTCCTTAGAAATCCGCAGATTTTTACCAAAATTTTCCTCAGAAATAACAAAAAACATCCGCAGATTCCGTCTGGCCCTGCGTATTACTTATAAGAGCTTAAAAAGTAATAAGAGTACACTGTTAAGTGTACTAAAAGTGTAAAAGTAGTTCACTTATATGTGCGAAAGTAATCCACAATTAAGTTTGAAATTTTGTGCTTACTTTATACTAGTAGTTTCCTATGTAACACTTGCCGTAAACAACTAAATTGCCAAGTTAGACAGTTAAATTATAGACAGGTTTTATAAAAAAATCTGAAAACAAATTACTGGTGTGCATATTAAGGTAAAACAAGCCCATTTACTTATTTTTAATATGTCACTGTAATAATTTATTCTATCAGCCTAACGAAAACCGATGAATAGTCGAAGGTTAAATGCGTGTAAGCCTTTCGTAGCGCTTCTGAAAGTTCAGTTTGTCTCCAATTTTAATTATTCCAATTTTACTATTTATGTTTTTAGCTGCACACACTATTAGTTGTGATATAAATTTAGATTTTGATATTTTTTTGGGTATATTCTTAATTGTATGTTCATTAGAGACCAAACGCTGCTTCCACATCCCGGGATTGCGTCTCAACACTCTTTCAGGAGTGAAAAGAGTTCAGGAGACTCCAGAATTTATCAAAAAGGTTAACATTTATTTTTCAGATAAAAGTGTATCAAGTTTTATTACAGAATCAAACAATAAATGCCAATTAAGAAGTAAATGCACAACATCAAATACTCAAAGATAAATCTAAGACCCCGTTTACACTCGGTCTGGTCAAAAATATGAAACAAAACCTTGTTACCAGTCACACCTGAGTATTTATCAATACCAGAGGGAAAGTTCAGGGAGGAGGACAAAAGTGTCAAAGTCTATCCTGGGCCTTTTTCTTCAGATTCCAGATTTTTGCTGTTTTATTCCATGGCACACTTAAGTCTAGAGTAAAACCTATCCCTACATCACTGTTATTTTCATTTTATACAACTCAAACATTCAGTTTAATCTGATCACTGAACCCAGGGCAGTATGTAATATTACATAAAAAAAATATTTCCTAGACTTTCATAGAAAATTATTGTATGCATTTTTTTATGTCTTTTTTACCAAAGAAGGCTCACTCAAATTCCAAAGGTAGATACTGATAAGATCAGGGCCTGGTCTGTGGATATTGGGGGTTTTAAGATGTGGTCACATGTTGTTGGGTCAGTTTTAATGTCTCAGCATTTGGGCTTTAGTCGCATGGTCAAAAAAAAGATACAAAATAGGTGTAAAACTCTGCTCTGTCTTTTTCTCCTGGCCTCTTTTCTGTCTCTGCACTTTCCTGCTCTGCTCCTCTCCTCCTCTCCTCCTCTGGAGTCTATCTTCTCTGACTCTACTGCAATCAGGCTAACTTCTGGGCTTGCTTTCTTTATCTTTCTCTCCCTCCCCCTTGTCTCTCCTTCTACCTCTGGTAACTTCAATTTAAGTTGGGTACAATTTATATCACATGTTTTATCACTTCATATTTGATCATTTTATACAGTTATTTTGTAATTAATTCAATTGTAACCATAGAGAATTATTGTCATTAAATCATCTGTGACGGCCTGAAAGGTTGGCCGCACAGTTCTGTGTAACAGCGTGCTTATATTTACACACACACAGGTGGAGTGAGCGACGTAGCTGAGTAGGGGAGTGGGAGTGAAGGACGGTGAGGGTGAGTTGCGTGCGACATACCTGAAGAGCTAGGAGGGATGCGGGGGAGAGGGGTGTGCAATGTATTCAACGACCAGTTTGCGAGAGATTATCATTAATTTGCGGGCATTTGGGAGTCTCTGTGCACTTGCGGGATACTCCTAGTCTTAGCAACTGGATGAATGTAAAGGAGGATTAAGCTAAATTGTTTCTACTCTATAATTAATGTTCTCAACTCACAGCAATAAAACTTTACAATGAGTGCAACAGTTTGTATTCTATAGTTTATTAATCATTTTTCATTTTCCATATCTGCAATTCCTGTATTTTGGCATTTTTTTGCAGTCCACTTAGAATCCAACATGGAAATCAATGTTTTCTTTATTGGCATTGATTGTTTTGAAATTTAAATGTCATTAACATGCCTGTGTTTTAATTTCTGTAATAAATATGGCTGTCAAGCCAGGATCTTGATGGTTTATTGTGGGTTTGTTGTTTACATGAAGAAATCTGTGTTACAAGTTAAACAAAAATTCTAATAACAATTATATTTTGAATTTAAATATTTTTTGTCTTCAGTTTACATTAATTTCACATTTGAATAGCCAAAATTACAAGTTTCAGTATTTTAAATGTGATAAATCGCGATTGATTTTTAAAAAAAGGTGCGATTAATTCGTAATTTTTTTTATCGATTGACAGCACTAATATATATATATATATATATATATATATATATATATATATATATATATATATATATATATTTATATATTTATATATGTGTGTGTGTGTATAATGTAAAATATAATAATATATGTTTTATTATTTGTTTCTATGGAGCTCTACTTTACCTAATAATATATGTTTTAATATTTAAAAAAAAAAAAAGCATAGACAGGTTCAAAGCTTCTGAATTCTTTATTTCATTTAATTGTTTTTATATCTGCAGAGTATCTGCAGAGTATCTGCCTTTTCTTCTACAAATGAACCTGACAGGACAACAGGAGATGGCAAAAAAAAAACAAAAAAAAACGGTTACTGCTAGGAATTAGACTGACTACTATTCATCTATTGATCTACTATCCACATCCATTAAAAATAAATGTAAAATACAGTAAAAACACTCTAAATCTGTTGAAACACATCGATCTGAAGGTGGTTTGGTTTATAGCTGGACATTATTGGAGTTTGCTGACAGGAACAGTAAACAGCTGTTCACTGAAACACCACGGAGTCTCACTGTATCCTACTGTACGGGGCGCTCGTCCGTTATAAAACACTCGCAGGATGTTAATTTGGACAACTATGTGGATATTTTAAAGGGTTTACATAAAGAGAACACCAAGTTTGTGAATCAACAGACTTGTGCGACTCTGATACAGTACGAGTCGCAGACATGAGGCACATGTGAGCTGGTTATTATAACTCTAATCATCGTTGTCCTTACATTTGCATGAAAATTTGATTTATACAACTGAGGATTTAGCCCTGGTTTACGTGCAGTGGTTGGAAATTTAAGCCACAGTCTGCATTTAACAGTAAGGGTGTTTTTGCACCAAGTCTGAATTATCTTATTTAATCACAGAAAATGGGAAATGCCATTACTTCAATCATTTAAATATGATATTTAATAACAAAATCCAGTAATTACAGTATAATATTTAAGTTAATTTTAAACTTGCGGCCCACCTACAGGATCGTTGAGGCCCACCAGTTGAGAATCCCTGCCGTAATTGATTTACAGTAAGTTACTGTAAATTGCTGCCAGTGAGTTACTGTAGATTCTACTGAATGCCAACTTTTCTGTCAGTGGGCCTATATGTGAAGTAAACTTCAGTGCAAATTTAAGTGCATTTCAGAGAATTGCTAAAAAAGTAGACAAAGTTTACCTGCCTGTTTCCTTATTCTGGAGATATTAACTGCGATAGGTTAAATTCCTTCAGCTGATGAAGGAAGTACAGCCTCTGCTGGATGATCCATAGTCCAAAAATGTTCTCCTTATGTGCAGTTTTTATTTGTTTATTTCTAGTCCAAATATCTAAACATTCTTATATTAATCAAGACAAGTAAAAAAAATCTATGTTGTTTTCAGGAAAAAGTCACAATTAAGTGGGTATTCCCTTAAATCAAGCATGATTTAAATGTAGGATATTTACACTTCCAAGTAAAAATGTATATTTTGCAGTGCGTCTACAGCATGTTTAAGTGCAATCTTACAAGACATTTTACCTGAAAATAAAAATGTACTCATCATTTACTCAAACTCAAGTGGTTGCAAACATTTATAAGTTTTTTTTTTCTGTTGAACACAAAAGAAGAGATTTTGATTAATGCTCCCACACCAACATTTACATCCATAGTATGGGGAAAAAACACTAGAGCAGTATAACCTCATAAAGGTTTGGAACAAGTGGAGTTTAAGTAAATTGTGACAGAGTCTTTATTTTTGAGTGTACTGTTCCTTTAAGTATTTCTGCTGTGGTCTTTGAAGCTGCAGCTCTACAGTATTACCGCTAGAGGGTGTGTTTACAGCAGAAACCATGTAGATTTAAAACTGCAATTTAAAACATGTTTTTTTTTAAAGCTTTTTAATGATATAAATAAATTCAGTATTACATATTATTAATGATTATAATGTATCTCAAGTATGATTCACTTTACTATAGTATGGTCCAAAACCACTACAATGTATACATGACTATAGTATTACTGAAGTTTCTCCCCCTCCATCTACCTGATCAGACCAGACAAGCAGAAACAGGTTTTATCTATGTGACGTCACATAGACTCCGCCCGTATACAGATTTCTTCCTGCTTTCTCTTTGGCAACAGAAATATATTAGCAAAATGCTACCTCGATATCCAGGTATTTACACATATCCTCTTTGTGTTTGTTATATGAAATGCAAACATGATGTGCAATATAAAAATAAAGCTGTGTTATTAATGTGAAATAAGTAACATTATGAGCTGCAGGGATTTCTGTGCATTGCCTTTTTGTCACAGAAACAAATCTGCGTAGGCTACAGACAATTCAGTGTTGGAGAAAATGATTGTTTGTTGATATTATAATGAGGAGAAAATGAGATGAGATAACGTGTTAAGTTTATATTTCATTGTTTTGCTACAATTGTATACAGCCTACTGAGTTATACGAATGTGCTAGGTTTGTTGATTTACCTTTACATATCCCTTCATTACTACAGTGTTTATTATTTTATTTGCTTAAACATTAACTGTTTGATTTAGCTCTATCACAGATTAAATTAAAACAGCAGTATTGTGACTGACTATTATATTTGTATCGTTTGATTCAAAATGTTATAGTTCATTTCTTTAGATATATAAAAATTAAAGCGTGATTTATACTTCTGCGCTAAGTGATGCAGGTCAAGTACGATGCGATCCTGGATTACCATCTATGTTGATCCTGGATCAAGACTTTTGTTGGAAAATATAATCCATACCTATTCCCTACCCCTAAGGCCAAACATAACTAAATTATTCCCCAAATCAGAAAAGAAGAATAGTTGGATAATAATCATGTAGAAGTGCATAAACCTAACTGTAAGCCGACACAAATGGTAAGCACATCCCCTAATTCTGATTGGCTGATTATAATGTTGTTCCAGGATCAGTTTAGATGTTAATCCAGGATCACATCCTACTTGATGAAGTCAGGTTAGGGCTGAGTGATCATTGTACCCCACAGGCCAAACCTTGCACGTAGCTAAAGCCATTGTAAGGATGAATACTTCTGTGTTGTGTCTGTGCAGCTCAGCAATAACACATCCTATTACTCAGTCAGAAACCTATAAACATTTACATCAACAGTTCTTTTACATGGAAAACACACATAGAGTGGGTTTGCTCTTCTTTACACCAGAGATTGTATTTTTTACAGAGGTTGCATCTTTTTGGAGTTAACAAGAAGCTCATGATGTTGTTTTATAAAGCAGTGCTTGAAAGCATTGTTGTAGATATAGTATCACAGTGTGGTTTGGCAACCTATCTGTTTAGTTTAAATCTAAACTGATGCATCTCTTAAAGACAGCATGGAAAATTGTCGGGCACGATGAATTTTTTAAAAAATTGCGAATGATCCAACTCATTTCTTGTTTCCACATTACGAACTGCTTTCTTCTGGTAGGAGATATAGAGTCCCAAAGTGTAGGTTGAACTGTTATAAGAAATCCTTTGTACCTGTGTCAGTGGGTTTATTAACCAAGAGTATATTTTAATTAGCATTATAATTATTGTAACTACTGAATTTTGTACTAGTTTCATTGTTTGTTTTTAGTGAATGTCTGCAGCAATATGGCGATGCCCATAACAAATTTTCTTACAAGGACAATAAAGTTTACTACTACTACTACTGAAACACTAGTAGGCATTGGGGTAGATTACTTTGTCTAGTGCAATTTTGGATTTTGTCGTTCACTTGTATGGTAGCCCTGTATTGTTACAACACCTCTAAAAACAAAAAAATTAACCATATTAAAAAAAATAATTATGATCGGACAAAAATTCCAGAGGCAGTGTATTTAATATGATTGACAAAACGTGTAGGTTGAATTTATTTTTTAACATGTGACTGTGCTATAACCTTAACAATTAATTGTTTTTGATCAGTGTGTTTGTTGATTGACTCACAGCAGACGTACAGCTCCACAACACATACAGCACCCTGGAGAAATCAACAGGACTGACGAATCTTTTACAGGAGCATGAATAGATGCCTGGAGTCAGACAAGATGATCAGGGGTAAGAACGAGACAAATCAGGGCATGAGTTTTGAGGTAAATGATTGATTGGTCGATTAACACTTAATTCCAATTCTGTTTTACCCCCCTTCCTCTACACCAGTAGGAATTTGGAAACTGTGTGTAATCTTATGTGAAAAAATATTTGTTCACACTTTATTTTGATGGTCTGATTGTTGAATGTAAGTTACATTTCAACTAATTCTAATTAGGGTATATCTAGACTGTTAAGTTGGGGTTAGGGTTAGTTTATGTACTTGCAAAGTTTCTTATAGTAAGATTTCAATCAAGGTTTATATGCATCAAATACGTAACATCTGTGCCAAACATTTCAACTGAAGAACATATTAACAATAGTACAACCATAAAGCCGAATTACATGTATGCATTGGCATGTTACAGCCCTAATGAGTATGATTATGTGAAACTCCATATAGATACATATTGCAATGATTTCGGGTACTTACTAAGCGATGCATGCACACATATATGCACAATCCCTAAATGCTCTGCTGACTTGGACTCTATAATACCTGTTTTATAACTTTAAACTATCAACAAACACCACCGAGCTATATTCTATTGTTCTTCCCGCTCCGTGGTGGATTTTGGCATAGTCCATTTCACGTGAGATGGCGGGGTGAGGGGAAGAAACCAAGTCGCGGGGGGAATATTTTCTACAGAAATAATTTTTGATTTCTTTTGTGGCCTAGTACCAATTGTTCCACGGACCGGTACCGGTCCGCGACGCGGTGGTTGGGGACCACTGGTTTACACATCCCATTCTGGTGACAATCCGGCTTACTTTGAACTTCATTTTTGTTTTTTTACATGCACAAAACCATCTGGTAATTGTTTTTTGTATGTACCAAATTACCCAAACTAATTAATGTGAAACATTTTCACTTACATGGCAGTATAAACAATCCTGAGGTGGTACTGTACACAGCAGTACCACCTCAGGTACAAGAATATTCTCCAATAAGAGAGTGAGCTATACCAAACCGGGGTTTGAAACCACCAATATAATGCACATAAGACTGAAGATGCACTAACAAATCTCTTTTCTGTGCTTTGCAGTGGGCAGAAGCAGTCCAGATCTTGTTCACCCTGACAGTATGTTAAAAACATTATTTAACACATTGTTTTTGTGCAACTGCTTATCATTCATAAGTGATAAAAAAGTTGTTTTTGTAATACTAGCCTGTTGCATAAAATAAAAACTATTATCAGTTATTAATGCTAGTGATGTAATAAAAATAAACCACACATGCTAGCTTTTTTCCTGTGTATTTTGTGTTTCAGTGAGTGATCTGAGGATCGTTCTTCTGGGGAAAAGCGTGTCAGAAAACAGCGAGGTGGGAAACCTCATCTTGGGCCGATCAGCGTTTGACAGTGAAGCTCCTCCAGGTGTGGTGGAGAGAGTGGGAGGAAGACTGAAGGACAGATATGTGACGCTCATCAACAGTCCTCAGCTGCTCCACACAAACATCTCAGATGACCAGATCACACAGACGGTCAGAGAGTGTGTAAGTCTGTCTGATCCAGGACCTCATGTGGTGGTTCTGCTCCTCCAACATCAGCAGTGTTCAGCAGAAGATCAAGAGCGTGTGGAGAAGCTGCAGGACTCTTTCTCTGAGCGCCTTTTTCAACACACCATGGTGCTCAGCACACAAGAGTCCACTGAACCTAATGAGATCCTGCAGAAAATCATCCAGACGTGCTCAAACAGACACTTCAGTCTTCAGAGAAGCAGCTCTGCTGATGATCTTCTGCAGGCATTTGAGGACATTGAGAAGAACAATGAGGGACGACACCTGATTTCTGCTCAATATGGAGCTTCTAAGTATTTCACAGTGGAGAAACAGGACACACAAACATGTAAGTTTGACCACATCTGTTGTTCCTAGTGATAGATGAACACTGTTTATTGTTCTTCTGCTCTTTCAGACTGTGAGAAGCTGAATATTTTGGTTTGCGGGAGCGACAGCTCTCTGAAATCCTCCATCTCAGAGCTGATCCTGCAACATACACACAGATCAGAGAGGACAGACGTAGTTCTTCATGGTCGTCAGATCAATGTGCTGGAGCTTCCAGCTCTGTTCAACACTGAGCTCTCAGAGAAAGTGATGTGTCAGACTCACCGATGTGTGTCTCTCTGTCATCCTGGAATTCATGTTTTCCTTCTCATTATTCCTGACTCTTCACTCAATAATGAAGACAAAGCAGAAATAGAAGAGATCCAGAATATATTCAGCTCCAGAGTCAACAAACATCTTATGATCCTCATCATGAAGAGCACAGAGAGTCAGACGGAAGAACTTAATGAAGAAACACAGGCTGTCATTGAGAGTTTCGGATGTCGACATAATTTCTTTGGTCCCAAAACACAAGTCTTTACATTGATGGAGGACATTGAGCAGATGCTGAAAGAAAACAGAGGAGCCTTTTTCTCCACAGAGACATTTCTGGAGGCACAGGTGAAAAAACTGATGAAATATGAAGAGATGAAGAAGAAACTTCAATCATTAGAGACAAATCTACTGTCACAAGGTAATGACATTCATTCTACATTCCAGAATGTAAGCTTTTAAAAAACTAAAGGTCAGAACTTAAGTGTCGGTTTTCTCCAGAGCAGATTTATCAGAGTAGATCATTGTGGACAGTCATAGAACTATGACAGTACTTGGAAAAGTTATGTCAAAAGTAAGTTTACTTTACACTTGTGCAGCTAGACCAGGGTGTCAGATTTTAGCTCCAACTTGCTTCAACACACCTGCAAGGATGTCTTTAGACTGCCTAGTAAGAGCTTGATTAGCTAGCCCAGCTGTGTCTGCTTGGGGCTGGAACTAAACTTTGCAGGACACCAGCCCTCCAGGACCGAGTCTGGATATCCCTGAGCGAGACCTTCAGTCTGATAACAGAAGGTCTGGACTACATTGCATATTTAATTGGCCAAGGAGCAGACAGTTTTTTTTCTGCAAGAACAACTGCTCCTTACTGTCCAACTGCTCGTTAATGTAAATTTCTAATCAGCCAATCACATGGCAGCAACTCCATGCATTTAGACATGTAGACATGATCAAAACAATCTGCTGCAGTTCAAACCGAGCATTAGAATGGGGAGTAAAGGGGATTTAAGTGAATGTGGCATGTTTGTTGACACAACCTGGTACCCCTCCTGTCAGCTAAGAACAGGAAACTGAGGCTACAATTCACACAGGCTCACTAGAACTGGACGATAGAATATTGGAGAAATGTTGTCTAATGAGTCTCCATTTCTGCTGCAACCTTGAAAACATAATCTATACTGCATTGTATCAACAGTTCAGGCTGGTGGTGATGTTATAGTTATAGTTTGGGGAATATTTTTCTTGGCACACTTTGGGCCCATTAGTACCAATTGAGCATTGTGTCAACCCCACAGCCTACCTGAGTATTGTTGCTGACCATGTCCATCCCTTTATGACCACAGTCTACCCATCTTCTGATGGCTACTTCCAGTGAAATGACACACCTTGTTATAAAGCGTGAATCATCTCAAGACTGGTTTCTTGAACGTGACAATGAGTTGACTGTACTCAAATAGCCCCCACGGTCTCCAGAGCTCAATCCAATAGAGCACCTTTGGGATGTGGGGGAATGGAAGATTTACATCATGGATGTGCAGCGGACAAATCTGCAGCAACTGTGTGATGCTATCATGTCAATATGGAGCAAAATCTCTAAGGAATATTTCCAGTACCTTGTTGAATCTATGCCATGAAGGATTAAGGCAGTTCTGAAGGCAAACGGGGACCAACCTGGTAAAGTGATAAAGTGGCTGGTGATTGTAAGATGATCCTGATAAGTGCAAACATTCAGATCACAGTTGCAAACATGATGGATTTTCACATCCAAATGAAACGATTTTGCATAACAATATATATTTGATCCATGGTGGATCACCTAACAGAAATCCCGTAGACTTTAAACAATTACAATGGGCATGCAAATTGGGGCTTGTGTACTGGACTGGACATGTTAACAGGTCTGTTGGTCAGGTTTAATTTTTTTTAGGAAAGGCAAGACAGCGATTATAGTATACATTAATCACCAGGGGCTGTATGCTCATGTTGCATTTCTTAGCTTGCCACCTGGTTCTCTGTTGTCACACATAATTTATGTTGTTAAGGGTCATTCACATCCCAGGCAAGCTCAATTATACAGCAGTGTAAGTGAGACATGCTCTCAAGGCACCTCACACTCCTGGGAGAACAATGACTTCACTAGAGACCTCTTTAGAGTAGACATTCAGCTGATGGGATTGCTTACCTTTTTCAAAACAAACTCTTGGCAGTTGTTTTACATCTGGGCAGAGGCTCCCATTGGCAGGGATGCAGTTGCACACTGTTGGCCCCAAGGGCTGTGCAAATATACATCCCCCCGCTTGTGATGCTACCTGCACTGACGCTCCAAGGTCAACAAAGACAAGGTACAGGTCTTGCTGTTTGCACCACATTGGTCCACCCAGACCTGGTTTCCAGAAGTTGTTTTCTTTGTGACAGCCCTTCCCTGGTAAATTATTCTGAGAAAGGAATATTTTCTCTGGGATGGGGCACCATCTAGCAGCCATGTTCAGACCTCTGAAACTTTCAAGTGCTGTTCCTAGACATTACATGGACAACTTAAGTGGCCTTTTGTCCGCAGTTTTTAACACAATCATTCGGGTTAGAGCTTCCTCGAAGAGACATGCCTAAACTCTTAAGTAGAAGGGTGTCCTTGTCAAGAACACCACCAACCCTATAGTAGAGGTAAACCTCTTTCCTTTATAGATTTATATTGCGACCATGATGCAAATCATTGGGCAAACACAACCTGATAATTGGCTTCCTGAGGGACGCCAGGAGGCTGAACTCTTTTAGGTGACCTAGAAAGGAAGCAACGTCTATAAATAGAGGTTGACTTACTAGATAATGGATGTCATTGCCTTGGTATACCAGTCACAAAGTGAGCCATGCCCCCTAGGATCCTTCCTTCTAATATATATCCCTGATGTGAACAATGCAGATTTTTTTCTTTGGCCATATACATAACATATTATCTTTTCCCCTTATGGGTAGTGTGTGGACTCTGCCGGGACCTCCCATGTTCAGGAGTGGAACATCAAATTACATAATTCCAGACCTTACGGGATGTTGGGTGGACCTTTGATGGTGCTTGTTTGCTCATCCCAAACTTTTGGCAATATCGACCCAAACTTGTAACTGGTTCAGTGGCTGTGACGCTTGCCTTAGACACCCCGAAATGTTATTATGACATACCTCAACTCAGAGATTAACTGAAATCATTCAATCTTACACTGGCCCTACCATGGAAAGGGAAATTATGGATATGCACTGAATTTTCTAAACAATCAGATATGTAACCTTTTTAAGTCTTTAATACTAATTCAGTTCAATTCATCTTTATTTCTAAAGTGTTGAACTACAATGTAGATTATGTCAAAGCAGCTTAACATAGATAAGGATGAGGTAAATTAAAAAAGCTTCACTTCAGTGACAAGCCAAAATAGTGAACGCCGAAAAACTGAAGAGAAACTCCTCTGAATGGCAGCTCGTTCAGTCCCAAGCCAAGCAAGTGCAGAACAAACTTCTCCAATTGATGGCAGAGAAGGAAAAAAAAACCTTGAAAGGTTTCATACAATGTTTAATAGGGAGCCAATGTAATGCTGACAGAGAGTATTTTCCTAAGTTCTAGAAAGAACTCTAGAAGCTTTATGTATTTAAGCAGCTAATCTATTATCCCTCTAGCAGTTAATGTATTTTCTCTTTTAAAGGTTCAACAGATAATGAGGATGCACTAAGGATTGTCCTGCTAGGAAAAACTGGAGTTGGGAAAAGTGCAACAGGAAACACAATCTTGGGAAGAATTTTATTTAAAGCATCATTATCTCAAGAGTCTGTTACTAAAGAGAGTCAAAGCGAAACTCGAGAAATCAATGGTCGACACATTACTGTAATCGATACGCCAGGACTGTTTGATACTGAACTCACTAATGAGGAAATCCAGAAAGAAATCAGCAACTGCATCTCCATGATTCTGCCTGGACCACACGTGTTCATCATCGTGCTCAATTTAGGACAGAGATTCACTCAAGAAGAGGCTAAATCAGTGCAGATCATCCAAGAGACATTTGGGGAAAACTCTTTAATGTACACCATGGTGCTCTTCACCAGAGGAGATTATATGAGGGACCAAACCATTGAACAGTGTTTGGGGAAACCTGGATCTCCTCTAATGAAGCTGATTGAAACTTGTGGACACAGATTCCATGTGTTCAACAATAATCAGACTGAAGACCAAACACAAGTGGCTGATCTACTGGAGAAGATAGACAACATGGTGAAGGCAAACGGAGGAAGTTTCTACTCTTGTAAGATGTTCAGAGAGATGGAGAGAAAAAAGCAAGAACAACAGATGAAGATCCTGATGGACAAAGTCAGAGAAACTGAAGAAGAGATGAAGAAACTAGAAGATGAGAAAGACAGAATTAAGATGATGATGAAGGAAGAACAACAGAATCAGGAGAAAGAGAGAAAGATAAGAGAAGAGGAACTGAAAAGAGAAATAAGAGAACAAGAGAAACATCAGAGAGAGACACGAGATGAGATGAAGAGAGAACGAGAGACATCTAAACAAGAAATAGAGGAAATTAGAAAAGTAAAAGAGAAACTTCAAAAAGAAATAGATCTATTGAAGAACAGCATAGAAAATGAAAGACAGAATCATGACAACTACCGTAAGAGAAGAGAAGAAGAGTTTGAAGAGAGAGAACAACAATTCAAAACACAATTAAAAGAGAAGGAGAGAGAAGTCCAGGAAAAGTTAAAGAAAAATCAAGAGGAATTGAAGAACCAGAACCGAGAGGAGAAGATGAAAAGAGAAGACGAGGAGAAGAAAATAAGAGAGAGGGAACTGAAAATTACAAATGAATTTGAGAAACTAAAACAAGAAAGAGAGAGAATGGAAAAAGAGAAAGGAGAGCTTCAGTCCAAACTTGAAGAAGAAGAAAACAAAATGAAAATAATGGTGGAAAACCTGAACAAAGAAAGAGAAGAACTGATGAGGAGAAATGAAGATGAAAAAGAGAAAATGAGGATGAAGATGGAGGAAATAAACAGAGAAAGAGAAGAACTGATTAAGGAATGTGAAGAAGAAAAAGAGAAAACAAGGGTGTTATGTTCTCACTATCATAACATTTAAAATACACTCTTGAATACACTAGGCTAAATAACACAGCTACAACGGGAGTACTTCACTTCTTCACTATTTTATTTACAAGAGCACACAAACATAAGCAGTAACGTGTGGGTGCCACCTAATGGCACTGGGGACAATGGCAATATCACATACATAACATTTCCTCCCCTCTTAAACAGAAACAACTCAAAAACATTTTTCAAAAACACAACTATAATACCTTTATCTATTTTACTCTAGAGGTAGAGGGTAGACTGCCTCTTGCCTCGAGCCAGTTCGGGGATTATTCTGCCCCAGATCAGAACAGGCTCACTAACATAACTAATTATAGCTTAATTCAGCAGCTTCTGTTTTCTTATAATGTCAGACGGTTGGGTGGTTTAATCACTCTTGCTGGATAACGTCTAATCTGTGTTGGTGTAATGTCATGTTGTGTCTGACACTCTTCTGATATGTCATTGTTAACATCTTGTTCCCTTGTTAGTGATGCAGAAGAAGTGGCATCTGCAGAGGTCTGTACAGGGGCAGACACATTCTTGTTATCAGGCAAGTCTGTTGAAAGCTTTTCAGCTGTTTGTTTTGGAATAGACAAAAGTTGATCAGCATGACGCCTCCATTCCTCAGAAGTACCCACATCCACAGTATAGGATACTGGACCACTTTGAGCCGTCACCACTCCTGATGTCCATTTCTCTCTTCCCCTGTAATCACGAGCAAGCACAGCATCACCTACTCCAAACTGTCTTGGTCTCAAATGACCTTCTCTGCGGAGAATTTGAGATACTTGGGAGAGCCGCACTGCCGCTGTCACACTGGGTTTTAGGGCATCAAGACGTGTGCGCAACTGGCGTCCCATAAACAACAAGGAAGGGGACTCTTTTGTCGTTGGGTGTGGTGTGTTGCGGTATGTCAGCAGGAATGTTTCCAGCCTTTTTTGTAGAGTAGAAGATCCCTTAGAAACTTTCAGTGCTTGTTTTAGTGACTGAACAAACCTCTCAGCCTGCCCATTTGTTGATGGGTGATAAGGAGCGGAACGAATATGCTTCACGTGATTGGTTTTCAGGAAACTCGCAAACTCCTGAGAGACAAATTGTGGTCCATTATCACTCACGAGGACTTCAGGCAGACCATAATGACTGAACATGTTCCTCAAAACATCAATAGTTTTCTCTGCTGTCGTTGATGTCATGACTTGCACCTCAGGCCACTTTGAATGCGCATCGACCACGACTAGATACATGTGACCCTCACATGGCCCAGCAAAATCTACATGTATGCGCTCCCATGGTTTACTTGGCCATTCCCATGGATGGAGAGGTGCTTGTGATGGCATTTTCTGTATTTGTTGGCATGACTGACACATTTTCACTTGCAACTCAATGTCAGCATCCAGACGCGGCCACCACACATAGCTACGAGCAATGGCTTTCATTCTGACAATTCCTGGATGTCCAGTGTGCAGTTCTTCCAGCACTCTTTTCTGTAGTTTGTGTGGAACCACAACTCTCATACCCCTCATCAAACATCGATGTTGGACAGACAGCTCACTGCGTTTGGAGATGAAAGGTGAGAGTTCATTATTATCTGTCAGGCTGATAGCTTGAGTTCCTTGTAGAACCATTTCGACCACTGTAGCCAAAATAGAGTCGCTCATAGTCTCTCTTCTAATATCAGTGGCACTAACAGGGAGTTTTTCCATCTGTCCGAGGTAGAACAGCTCTACAGCATCGTTCTTTTCTCTATGTTCTACGTGCAATGGCAGACGGGAAAGACCATCTGCATTTCCGTGATGTTCGGCTCTTTTGTACTCAATAGTGTAGTTGTGTGCAGACAAAAGCAATGCCCACCTTTGCATACGTGCCGCCGCCATTGATGGAATTCCATTTTGTGGCCCTAAGATTGTAGTAAGGGGGCGGTGATCTGTGAAGAGTGTGAATTTTCGTCCGTAGAGATACTGATGGAATTTCCGAACTCCAAACACAATTGCCAGAGCCTCACGCTCAATCTGCGCGTAATTCTGTTCTGTCTTGCTAAGCGTGCGCGATGCAAAAGCTATAGGCTTTTCCTCACCACTGGGTAACATGTGTGAGATGACAGCACCAATGCCATATGGTGATGCATCACACGCAAGTCGAATTGGGTTCTGTGGGTCGTAGTGTGTCAAGACATTTTGCGATACTAATTGTTCCTTTGCCATTTTGAATGCAGCATTGCACTCTGCCGACCACAGCCAGCGCTTTCCCTTGCACAGCAGAGAATTCAAAGGATTCGCTATAGTCGCCAAATTGGGTATGAACCTCCCATAATAATTTAACAAACCAAGGAATGACCTCAGCTGTGTGACGTTTGATGGGGGTGGGGCATTGACAATTGCGCTCACTTTTTCAGGCGACTTGTGCAAACCTTCAGCGTCAATTATGTGACCCAAATATTCCAGTGAGTCCTTGAAAAAGTCACATTTTCCTTTTTCCACATGCAAGCCAAACTCCTCCAGGCGTCCAAGAACTCCATCCAAGTTTTCCAAGTGTTCAGCTTCCGTACGCCCAGTAACAAGAATGTCATCCAGATAGCAATGGACATTAGGAAGGCCTAATAATACTTGATCCATAGCTCTTTGGAATATTGCTGGCGCGGAGGCAATCCCAAAAGGAAGACAAGAATATTGGAATAGCCCTTTCTGTGTGGAAATTGTGAGGAACTTTGAGGACTCCTCCTCCACGTTCATTTGGAGGTAAGCATGGGACAAGTCTAGTTTACTGAAACATTGTCCTCCTGCTAATGAAGCAAAAAGGTCCTCGATGCGTGGTAACGGATAGTGTTCAGTGTGAAGTACAGGGTTTATTGTCACTTTAAAGTCCCCACAGATGCGCACTGCTCCATTTTTCTTCACCACTGGAACTATTGGAGTAGCCCATTCACTATACTGCACCGGTGTCAAAACTCCCATTTCAGTGAGACGGTTCAACTCCTCTTCAACTTTTGGACGCAGGGCATATGGGACTACTCTGGGCTGACAAAACTTTGGTTTATGTTTAGGTTTCAGCGATATTTTAGCTTTTATTTTCTTCATTTCCCCTAATTGTTTAGAGAAAACAGCGGTATGTTTTTGCAGAACACCATCTAGTGTCTTCAGTTTGACTGTTCTTATTTCTTTCCAGTTAAGTTTAATCCGACGCAGCCATTCTCTGCCGTAAAGTGGTGGATAATCTCCCTGCACCACATACAATGGAAGAACAGCTGTCTGTTTCCCCATTTTTACATGAACGTCAATTACACCTTCAGGGCGTAATGCTTGTCCTGTGTATGTTCGAAGAACAATGTCAGTTGAGCATAAGGGCAGATGTTTCAGTATTTTATTATAAGTCTCTGTTGAAATTAAAGAGACTGCTGCGCCTGTGTCCAGTTCCATTTCAAGTGGCAGTCCTTCAACTTCTGGTTTCACCATGATACTGGACTTTTCTCCTGGCTGCGACAGTTTATACAGAGCTAAATCATTGTCTGTTTCATCACCGCTGGATACTGCATCAGCATCAAGATGGTGTACATTTCCTTTTTTACTATAGCCTTTATGCTTAGCTTCTTTTGTTGACCGTGCAGCTTTTACTCTGTTTCCATTCTTTGTTTTTCTATCATCGCTACTCTTTCTACAAACGTGACTGATATGGCCTTTTTTTCCACACGTGTTACAAGTTTTGTCCTTAAACCAACAATCTTCATCACTATGGTTATTCTTTCCACATCGTTTACATTTGTTTACAGTCTTAATCTTTGTAAAAGATAGTGCGTTTACCGTCAGCGATCCACTGAGTTGATGCGCTTCACGTGACGCTGTTTCCATGGACACCGCCAGTTCTACCGCTCTATGAAACGTCAGTGTAGTTTCAGTCAACAAGCGCTTTTGCGTGGCTTCGCTCTTCAAACCACACACGAATCTGTCACGGAGTGCATCATCCAGATGACCCCCGAATTCACAGTGCTCAGACAATCCTCTCAGCACTGCAACATACTGTGTCACCGTCTCGCTCTCCTCCTGATTCCGCCGGTGAAATCGAAAGCGCTCCGCGATGATCAGGGGCTTCGGAGAAAAATGCTGCTGTAGCGTGTCTGTGATCTCTTTAAAACTTTTCTCTCCCGGCTTGTCCGGCGCGATCAGACTTCGGAGCAATCCGTATGTTTTCCCTCCGATCACGCTGAGCAGCACAGGCACTTTTTTGTCAGCATTAATGCTGTTTGCTTCTACAAAGTGCTCAAATCGCTCAATATAGGTGGTCCATGGTTCCACGCTTTCCTCAAAAGCTTCCATATGGCCTATAGTAGCAGCCATTCTAGCTAATCTAGCTCACTTTTGCTACGCAGAGAAAATAAAGTTCAGGTGCGCCTATCTACTCACGATTCACTGTGGTAGGTCCATGGATAAATTAATCCACCTCGTCGCCAAATATGTTATGTTCTCACTATCATAACATTTAAAATACACTCTTGAATACACTAGGCTAAATAACACAGCTACAACGGGAGTACTTCACTTCTTCACTATTTTATTTACAAGAGCACACAAACATAAGCAGTAACGTGTGGGTGCCACCTAATGGCACTGGGGACAATGGCAATATCACATACATAACAAAGGGTAATGATGGAGGAAACGCAAAGAGAAAGAGAAGGACTGATAAACAAACATGAAGAAGAGAGAAAAAGACTGAAGATGATTATCGAGGAAGAAAGTCAGAGTCAAGACAGAGAAAGACAGAGACGAGAAGAACTCAAGAGTGAAATAAGAGAACAAGAAAAACATCAGAGAGAGATACAGGACAAGCTTAAGAGTGAACGAGAGACATTTAGACAAGAAATAGAGGAAATAACGAAAGAAATAGACAAAATAAAAACTGAAAAAGAGAAACTTAAAAAGGAATATGAGACAGAAATAGACAGACTGATGAACAGAGCAGGTCAAAGAGAAGAACAATATAAAACACAGATTAAAGACAAGGAAATGAGTGAAAGAGGGATAAAAGAGGAGATGAAGAGAGAAATACAGACATATAAACATGACATGGAAGAAATTAGGAAAGAAAAACAGAAGATAAAAGCAGAAAATGAAACACTTCAGGTAAAATATGACACAGAAATAGCCAGACTGATGAATATTGTAGACTATGAGTAGACTAGAGAAGAATTGAATATACAGAAAGAGAAGATCATTATATAACACAACTAAAACAGAGAGAGCAGCAAGAGAGAGAGACACATGAGGAGATGAAGAGAGAACGAGAGGAGTGGGAGAAACAGACACAAGAGGACAAACAGCAACTAAAAGAAGAGGAGGAAAAAAGACAGATTTTAGAAGAACAAAATCAGAGACTTAAGTGTGAAATGGAGGAAATAATCAGACACAAGAATAGAATAGAAAGAGAGAAAGTAGAACAACTGCAGGATTTAGAGAAGACACTAAAAGAAGAAAGAAACATGAGAGAAGAACAACAAAGGACTCATGAAGAAACAGTAAAAGTCCTTGAAGAAGAGCATAAAAATGATTTGGAGATACAACGAGTGCAGTGGAGGGAGGAATATGAAAAAGAGAAAGAAGAGATGAAAATCAGCTTTGAACAACAGGTGAGTGTTCAGAAAAACCTGCAAAAAACTGATTCATATTCATGTTAATCTTTGACTGTGTCCGAAATGGCATACTTCCATACTATATAGTACGCTAAAAACAGAATGCGAGCTAAATAGTTTGTCCGAAATCATAGAATTGAAAAAATAGTAACTGAGAAGAACCCAGATGACCTACTACTTCTGGCAAGATTAGGAAGTGTGCTTCCAATGGGCTATCCCATGATGCACCGCTAAAGATTTTATGAATGGGTGTGAATCGATGCAACTGACGTATGACATGTGATGACAAAATGGTGGATGTAGTACGTCCAAGTTTTTTAAATTTATTTATTTATTTATCAGGATCCCCATTAGCCACTACTAAGGTAGTGGCTATTCTTCCTGTGGTCCATCGAACACAAAACAAAATTACATTAATACATAACAACAAGACCAATTAAAAACATTTAAATACGAAACTCATTCATCCAGATCAACAATCCAATTAATATTGTGACATTCACTTCCTTCATTTCAAAACATGGAGCTGGGTTATCACTTACTAATTTTTCAATTTGCTTTTTAATTGGTATAATATTATCAGTTAACATTTCTTCTCTAAGCTTATTCATTTTATTTATATAAAAAATCGTTAAAATAATTGGCAACTTCATCTGATTTAGTTAAAAATAAATCACTTGTCTCAATAAAAAAGGAGTTTGACCTGATTTCCTCCTCATTATTTCATTAATAATGTTCCACAGTTTTCTTCCATCATATTTATTTTCACTTATTTTTACTTTATAAAATGTCATTTTCTTTTTTCTATTAACCTTAGTTACTTTATTACGTGATTTACAATAGACTTCCCAATCCTGTTTATTCCCATTTCTACTTGCTATACCCTTTGCCACATCTCTTTCCGCCATTATCCTCTTCAATTTATTATCAATCCATGGTGCCCTAATATTCTTCACTGTATGTTTCTTCATAGGTGCACGTTTATCCACCAAAGAATAAAATAATCTTTTAAAAGCTGTTAATGCATCATCAGGATGATCTTCCTTTTAAACAACAGCCCAACATATGCTATTTACATCATTGCAAAATAAGTCCTGACAAAATTTCCTATGTAATCTTTTATAAATAACTTTTGGTCTTCCTTTTGGGATCTTTGTTTTTCTAACAATCACTATTATATTATGATCACTACATCCAATAGGAACAGATACACCCTTAGAACACATTTCCACAGCATTTGTATGAATATGGTCAATACAAGTAAAAGTTCCCTTACCAAGACTATTTGCATGAATTCTTGTTGGTTGATCAATAACTTGTGTTTTATTACATGCATTAATTACATTCACCACTTTAGATTTCAGGGAATAGGCCTGAGACATCCAATTAATATTTAAATCACCCATCAAGTAAATTTGATTTACAGTAGCAAATGCATTGTCGATCATATAACACAATTCACTTAAATAACAACTATTTGCACATGGTGGTCTGTAACAACAACCAACAAGTAATGATTTGACAAATGGTAACGTTCGAGGTTACAGAAGTAACCCTTCGTTCCCCGAGGAGGGGAACGGAAGTGCCATAGAGTGGATTAATTTAATCCACGAATGGGAGATTCGGACCAGAAGCTGCTTGTCTGGAGAGTATTGAACGGGCCAATGAATGAAAATTAATTGGCAGCGTAAGCTTGCGCAGGTGTGTTGCATCGGCAATTATCCCAGCATATAAGCACACCTGAAGCCAGCAAACGCCATCCTTTTGAGCTGAAGAGACTTTCAAACGGCTAAGGAACATATGGCGAACATTATGGCGACGGAGTATGGCACTTCCGTTCCCCTCCACGGGGAACGAAGGGTTACTTCTGTAACCTCGAACGTTCCCCTTCGGTTGGGGTACTTCAGTGCCATAGAGTGGATTAATTGAATCTACGAATGGGAGAAGTATGGAAAGCGCCATAATGACTGCACCTTACCAACGCCCCCGATGAGGGGATAGTCAAGCAAGCGTGACGCACCCACATCATGGGAGGCGCGGTCCTCCAACGTGTCTCTGGCCCTAATTTATCCTACTTCAACAGAAGTCTTACGGATTTAGATATATTTTTTGGGAAGTCGTGAGCATCTAGATAATTCTAGGAAAATACGACAGTACGTTGGGAAGCGTGCAATCCCGATAGGGAGGACGCTGCGGAGGCCATCCGTTACCCAAGGGGGGATAGATGGCAGGATTTACATATGGACTAGCCCTAAAAAGGGGGAGTACGCATAGCAAAAGAGTGGTTAGCTGAGAGGCCCAGGGGGGAGACTTAACCGTGGCGGAATAAGCATATGGGATTGCCTAGTAGGGATCACGCATCGCAGGCACCTATACCCAAAACGCGGGCTGACCAGCGGGCAGACCTACAACGTAGTGGGCCAGCAAGTGACTCCTCCGCTGAGTCAGTGCCGGGGGCCACGGAGGAATCTGCAGGGCTCACCTGACGGGGAACTTTACTGACAGATAAAAGGGCGCACGTATCTCCGTGTTAGGGAAAATGGCGCAGCAAGCGTGTCTCAACACCCTACCGAGTTGTTTCCTCAATCACCAAAGGGTTACCTAATACCCTTGAGGAAACCGACTCCACTCGCAGATTGTAAAACCTTGCAAATGTGTTGGGTGTCGCCCAGCCCGCAGCTCTACAGATGTCTGTTAGAGAGGCGCCGCGTGCACGCGCCCAGGAGGATGCAACGCTCCGAGTGGAGTGTGCACGCACTCCCGGGGGACACGGCTGACCTCGACTTGAATAAGCGAGTGAAATGGCATCCACATTTCAGTGGGATAATCTTTGTTTCGATACGGCACTTCCCTGCTGCCGACCGCCATAACAGACAAAGAGCTGCTCAGATGATCTAAAATTCTGAGTACGGTCCACATAAATACCCAGAGCGCGAACTGGACAAAGTAAAGAAAGGGCTGGGTCTGCCTCCTCCGGGGGCAGCGCTTGCAGGTTCACTACCTGATCTCTAAAGGGGGTGGTAGGAACCTTGGGCACATAACCCGGGCGGGGTCTCAGGATGACGTGATAGTAATCCGGCCCGAATTCCAGGCACGAATCACTGACCGAAAATGCCTCCAGGTCCCCGACCCTCTTGATGGAGGCCAACGCAACCAGCAGAGCTGTCTTCAGGGACAGATATCTTAGAGATACTGATTCGAGAGGCTCAAAGGGATCGGATCGCAAACTCATGAGAACGAGGGCGAGATCCCAAGAGGGCATGAGAGGGGGGCGAGATGGATTAATTCGCCTAGCACCCCTAAGGAACCGGATGATGAGGTTATGCTTTCCCACGGTGCCGCCAGCTACCGCGCAATGATAAGCGGAGATGGCGGCCACGTAAACCTTGAGAGTGGAGGGCGACAGCCTGCTGTCCAACTTCTCTTGAAGGAAAGAGAGCACAACACTAATCTGGCAGTTTCGGGGGTCTTCTCTGCGAGAGACGCACCATTCAGTGAATAGACTCCACCTCAGGGCGTAGGCGATGGAGTGATGGTATTAACCACCGCAGTCGGTAGGTTACCTAAGTCTTCCTCGCGTCTAAGGACCACACATGGAGGTTCCAAAGATCGGGGCGAGGGTGCCAGATGGTGCCCTGTCCCTGAGAGAGTAGGTCCTCTCTCAAAGGGATCCGCCAGGGGAGGGCCGTCGCGAGGAGTCCGGTCCAGTTGGGCCAAAGGGGCGCAACTAGCAGAATCTGTTCCTCGTCCTCCCTGACCTTGCACAGTAACTGCGCGAACAGGCTCACTGGGGGAAACGCATACTTGCGCATGCCCTGAGGCCAGCTGTGGGCCAGTGCATCCGTGCCGAGAGAGCCCTCGGTCAGGGAAAAAAACAACTGGCAATGAGCGTTCTTGGGGGAAGCAAACAGATCGATCTGTGACTCCGCGGGTGACTCCAGAGGAGCAGACGGCGGGCGAGCTGAGACATGCGGCGAGAGCGCATACCCCCCATGCGGTTGATATACGCCGCCGCCGCCATACTGTCCGTCCTGACCAGCACGTGTTGCCGCTCCAGTACCGGAAAAAAGCGGTGGAGAGCGAGGAACACTGCCAACAGCTCTAGGCGATTGATATGCCAATGCAACTGGGCACCCTTCCACAGGCCCGCAGCCGCATGCCCGCGACACACGGCCCCCCAACCCGTGTTGGAAGCATCTGTTGAAACAACAACATGGCTGGACGCCTGTCCTAGAGGCACACCGGCCTGTAGGAACGAGGGGTCGTTCCAAGGGCTTAGGGCGCGGCGACACAGCGCAGTAACAGAGACCCGGTGTGTGCCAGCGTGCCATGCGCGTCTTGGGACCCGATCGTGAAGCCAGTGCTGAAGTGGTCTCATATGGAGCAATCCGAGCGGCGTGACGGCGGCTGCGGATGCCATATGCCCCAGGAGCCTCTGAAAGAACTTCAGTGGGACCACTAGTTTGCTGTCGAGCTCCCTCAGACAGTTCAGCAACAAGCGAGCGCGTTCCTCGGAGAGGTGCGCTACCATGGTGATCGAGTCCAGCTCCATCCCGAGAAAAGAGATCCTCTGCACGGGGGCGAGTTTGCTCTTTTCTCGGTTGACCTGAAGCCCCAGTAGGCGGAGATGCCGAAGCACCTTGTCCCTGTACACAATCAATTGCTCCCGCGAGTGGGCTAAAATCAGCCAGTCGTCGAGATAATTGAGTTTGCTGATGCCCGCGAGCCGAAGGGGCGCTAAGGCACCCTCCGCGAGTTTGGTGAAGACCCGCAGAGACAGAGAGAGCCCGAAGGGGAGGACCTTGTACTGCCACGCTCGACCCTCGAACGCAAACCGCAGAAATTGGCGGTGGCGGGAAGAATGGAGACATGGAAATACGCGTCCTTCAGGTCTATGGCTGCAAACCAATCCCGAGGACGAACGCATTGGAGAATGCACCTCTGCGTGAGCATTCTGAATGGCAGCCTGTGCAGACAGCAGTTCAAAACCCGCAGAT